ATATTTTCAAAAGAGCAACTTGTATGAAATGAATGCATTGTCATATGACATTTCGATCCGTAATGTAAAAAAGAAAAAATACATAACATTCCATTACTAAACCAAAATGTAACAACGACTGTAAACTCGTTTCATGTCAATCATTCTCCTTTTTATTCGAAAAAATTATGCTAAAATATAAAGTGAAGTTTTTTAACTAAAACTCTTCAATTTGGTCCCTAATAATGAAAATTAATAAATGTAGTCTCTATCTTAGAACGTCAAAATCAATGTAGTCATTTCGTTAGGTTTCCTCCAATAACTTTGTTCGTGTGCTGACGTGGCATATATGTGCGGTGCAAGAAGGCCGACCAAGTGAAGCAGCGTGGGGCCCAAACCATCTCTCGTCGCCCATTCGATCCGCACCAACCAATCACGAATCATGGCATTCAGCGCCTCCTAATCCCCAAATGATTAAATACCCCTCAAAATGTCCAACCTCCGGTCGACGTGCGGCGAGCACGTTCATGAATTGACTTGTATAATAATTCCGGTAAATTTGGAGACCCAACATCGTCGGATTTGACCGACCTTGAGTTCTTTTGACTCATGTTCATCTATACATAATTACATATGCATCAACTTCTCTTTCAGTAGCTGATTTCGACATATGTGATGACAAGCTGATGTATGATTGCAGACGGATTTGCTACATTAAGACATCATCATGATTATTTTTGCGTATGGTTCACTTTCCTGGTGCTGTCATTTCCAGGTTTCCGAAATGAGAGAACGAGGAAAGGCGCGCCACAACTAACGTAACAGTCAGCTGAAAAATACTAGCTAGCTAGCAATTGCTTTCTCTGAAAGGAGCTCGCTTCTTCAAGCTCCGCACAACCTATACAAGGTGCTAGCCGCTTGGTTTTTTTTTTTGTTTTATTATTTTGAATCCTAGATTAAAGGAGCTCCCAAATCAGTGTGGGGCTAAATCAGCAACAGGAGAACCGTACTAATCTAACGCCAGTTACTTTCTCAGGGCTTTGCAAGAGAAGAAAGAGAGTATGGGTCGATTTTCTAATGAAGTGAATGTCCCTCTTACTCTCTATTCTCTATTAAAGCTTTATAAAGCTTGGCGAGAAAGGATTGGTTATGGTTGGTTACGGTTTGACATGCACGGTCTAATGATATTCTTCGTCACCTGTAAATGAGAGGTTTTAAGTTCGATTCTTACCAAGGGCAAGTTTGAACCACATTATTGCTAGCCTCTCCCACCTCTTTAATGTAGATAATATCGCTTGTTCAAAAAAAAAAAAAGGATTTTTGTTGTAATTTGTGCAATTTTGTGTTATAAAAAAAAAATTTGAGAGGTGTTATTTTGAGCTACTGAATGGGCACATTTACTTACATTGTATGAGTATTAGAACAAATGAGGGATGAGAATGAATGACTATGAGATAAACAACTCTCTCATTGTTAACAGGATACTCAGGGTTTAAAATATCTACGAAATTGTCGATATTCCTGTTGAGATATCCGAAAAATCAAGGATTAATATGGAAAGGGGGTGAAATGCAAAATTCACCCTATATCGGCAAGATATAGGAAAATAAGTGAATATCGACGATATTTACTGATTCACTAGAGAATTTTTGCCGGAATCTATTGCAGATTTTGAATTTTTTTGAGAAAATTTTCTCTAGTTTCAGCTAAATTCAAATGAGTTGATCAACCGATATTGATATTTGCATATCAATATTTTCACATATATCAACATTTTAAACACTGAGGCTACCTTCATTTTTAAGATATGACAAACCAAAAACATATGAGACCCACTCATTTTCATTCATTTGGTTAGTAGTAAACACATAAATAAAAATTATACTCATTCCTTCGAATTTCATTTCTTGTGAGTAAATATGTGAGCTACAAAAATCGAGCTTGAGTGCAACAGTCACGAAAAACCCTAGCCAACTCTCGTCTATCACCCGCACTTATCATACATCAAATGCTTTGGTTCTTGATGGTTGCCGGTTGGCACATCCTCATACAATTTTTAATAATAGCTACTCCTACACTGGTTATCTGCCTGCATTCTTTCGTTTTGCATTTAAAGATTTTAATAAAAAACTGACGCGTTAGGTTGTTCATTTCATGCCTTACTTTTTATCTTTAGAGCAAAAACCCAAAAATATAGGTTCACAAAAAACAAAAACGCCCCAAAAAGTTGTTGCTACAAATTCATTTTTTGGCACAATTAAAATGGTCACGGTTTTTGCAGGTATATAGGATGCATAAATAGCAGTATTCATCCATACTTCCCCACCAAATTAAAAGAGGGAGGAAGCAATGCCTTTTCTCATGAACAATGTACACAGATCAACCCCTCTTAACTTTATTTTGTGACTCGTGATGTGCAACTGGCACCATTTTTACTGCATGAAACCTCCAAATTTTGAGGACCTTTCGGGTAGCCACGACGAGGGTTTTGTTGTCGAGTTGGAAGTTGCCCTGTATGTGGGTAAAAACTTGCATATATGCCACATCATCTATAAAGCAGTCTTCACAAAAGTATGAGACTCGATAGATTTTAGTCTCACTCAACCTTATGTTAGTATTATTCGATATGAAAGTTATCCTAATTAGGCTCATACCGAAAACGAGCTACCATGTATATGAGCCTCTGCTGTGCAGTTGACCATTTAGCAATTTACGTTGACGTGCATCCATGTTGGGTGGCAGCAGTACTGGCGGAGAAAATGAATTTACAAACTACTGTTAATTGATATATAATATATAATTAATGAATTAGGACATTGAAGCAGTGACGACAGGGTGATTGGAATGCCATATTCATCTAGAAGTAACACAAAGGACCACATCACTTGGTATAAAGAAGTTGTGTCGACAGAAAGCGAGGCTATGACATATTGTTTTTGGTATAGAGACCACAGTCGGTCTGAGGATGCAAAGAAGTGTCCCATATCAGAAAGTTATTAAAGAAAAAATGGCTTATAAGGTGTTTGATCACAAGTCGCTCCCCCTTCCTCACCTTACTAATTAGTTTTGAGATCGAAATCTCGTACTCACATTGTTTATGGTATTTGATCTAGTATAAAAATCTCAACTTTCTTCATGGACAGTTCAAATTCCTTGTAGTCATTGAATAATCTAAATGCCATATGTGCAACATTAAGCTCGGTATACTAATGTTTCTTTTCGATTTTAAAAAAGTTTTGGAATTCAAATCCCTTCCTCTGAAGAAAACAAGAGAACAAAACATTGCTTGTATCATGCAATATGGTTGCAACGATGTTTTAGGCCCATTCCCATGCAAAAGGACTAGATGCCTTTAACAAGATGGTTTTGGTTTAACAAGATGATTTTGGACTTCAGCATTTCGACTGATCTCGTGCTGGCTAAGGCTTAGAGCTCGATCCATACTCCATGGAGTTGTGATATACAATTGTTGTAAAAATGCCCAACCCCACAGAGACTCTTTTTTTATTTTTTTTATTTGACGAAGAAAAATAATTTATGTACATTCTTTTTCATTCTCTTTTGTTTTATTTGAACGGAAATATAAATACAGAAAAAATATAAATGTGCATAAAGAAAAAATGTGTGTGAAAATTATTCCCTTTAATGAATTCTAACTTTTACAGTATACTACATAGAGCTAAAACCATCAAAGCACAGAAGATGCGTAGTTACATTTTGTAAGACTTACTTTAAGAAGACAAAATGCACAACCTAACTTGTGCATGACGTATAGTTACATTTTATAAGACTTATTTTAAGAAGACTAATACGTAATATAACTTGCGTTATTCAAATATATAACTTTTATGATACAAATACACCGTTTCCGTGTTATAAAAGTCCGATGAAAATGATAGGTAACAATTTTGGTTTGGGTCAAACCTCCTTCAACATGTTTGTAGTTACCCTATGCTTAAAACTGTACAAAGTCAAACGTGGAGGAGGAGTGGGAACAGAGTTGATTTTGTTGACTTTTGATTTTGATTCTTTAAAGAATTGAATCTGAAGGCTTAATTAGCATCTGAGATTGTCAGCCGTTGGATGAGGTGGCCCCCTGACCATGTCAGCAGGTTACTGTTTCTTGCCCTAGGGGGTGAGGCTAGGATAGGGTGCGGACAAACCCATCACGTGTGATGTTGATGTGCGGCAGAGGATCATTTGTCTGCGAATCCTCACCAAGGTGACGATGGGACCCTCTCCGACTCGGAGAGAGACATTTTATCAATAACAAGACACCAAACGACAACGTTTTAAGTCTTTTGCTCACAGACCAGTGACCACTGGCAGTACGGGCCCCTCTCTCTGGAGCATTCCGATAGGTCCCATTCCCAAGCAGAAAAATTATGTCATGCAGACATGCAGTTGTATTGTCGATTGAGTATTTTTGTAGTTCAAAACCAAAACCCAAGCCCCAAGCCCCAAATGAAAGAAAATAATGCCACCTTGTTTCATTTGCTAATTAGCCTAATTTATATATTATGGCAGGCACTTGTGTAGGTGAATCTAGTATGTTTCGGTGTATCGTATACTAGAGCATAATAGAATTTTTGTAAATTCACTGAAGTGTAGACTTAATGTTCAAAAACAATATAAAACGCAGGTTAAATGTTTGAGTTCCTTAATTAGTTGTAAGTTGTATGTAAAAACATTATAAAAGCTCTCGTTATTTTTTTTATTTTTAAAAGAACTTTTCTTAGTTGGAATAAAAATAAAAGGACTTAAATTGATAATTAAAATTTCTCTAATTAAACCTAACAACTGACTATTATTTTAGAGTAATATCCAATTATTCCCAAATTATAATGAATATTTTAGATCTTTAAACTTTTTGATTGAGTAAATTGGAATAGCAGCTATCGACGAATGTGGCAAATACAAAATGACAGCAGACCTCATTTAAAATATGGCTCCTGATTTGAACCAAAAAAAATATCTGTCGGTGCTCACTACAAAACAAGCATAAAACATACATATATCCGTCATAAAATAAAAATAAATATATATCGGAAATTAATAAAATTCATGTCGACTGCCGGGAGTACCATCTAGATACCACATGTTTACCAAGACAAGAAGAAAAAAAGGTATCACATATTATCATAGAAAATTTGAAATGCACCACAAATATGCAAATTAAATTACTCAGAATTCGAAATCAAAAGCTGGTGTTGGTGTTGGTGTTGGTGCTTGCTTTACCATATTGTTGTTTTTCTCACCTTCATCATGTTTAGTTGAATCACCATCACCCAGAGAATGGTTTTCCGGCGAAGCAGGGCGGTTTTCCGGTGCTTGATCGGATGGCGACACGAGCATTCCTTGATTGTACAAAGTGCTTAACTGATGAAAATAAGGGCAAGTCCTAGAGTCAAGTGACCTCTTCTTGTTAACATCTTTTGTTTTTCTAAAGTACTTGTTAATGTTCTCCCATTTCTCTTTGCACCTCTTGGAACTCCTCTTGTAACCGATCTCGAACATCCCTTGTGAGATTCGCTCCCAAAGAGGAGCTTTCATCACCACTCCTCCGTCCTTGTCCTGATCGCCGCCGCTACCACCATTGTTGAAGAGGCTGCACCTCAAGTTTATCAGAGCCAGCACTTCATCTCTCGGCCATCTCTTTCCGAGGTCTTGTTTGTCATGACTAATGGAACTAGGGTTTTGAGCATTTATGATGACATCCTCAGAACTAGGGTTTTCAGGAGGAGCTAGGGTAACAGTAGTATTAGTAGTCGTACTCAAAGAAATTGTCACCGTCGGAACAGGTAGCGGAGTCGGAGCAAGAGTACTTGAAGTTGGGCTTTGGGGTGCAAGAGTACTTTCAGTTAAAGAACTAGGCGTGGTTGGGTTATTTTCCTTTTCTTGATGACGATCAAGTTCTTTACGGCCACTAACATCACGACACGTAGGAAGAGTAGGGTTTTGTACTTGAATCGGGGAAGACGAAGTAGAAGTACTAGAATTACTTGACGACGATGTGAACTTCTTCAAGAACTTAATGATCGTAGCTTGTCGATCACCAGCAACTGCTTGTTCACGCGCCATAAGCTCGAGCTCCTTGTTCATCCTATCCGTCTCTTGCTTCTTCCAAGCTTCTTCCCTCGCAATCTTCTCTTCGTTTCTCTTCACCATTTCTTCAAGAAGCTCGTTGTGCATCTCTTCCTGCTGAGCCATCATCCTGTTCACAATGTCCTCACAGAAACCCTTGAGCATTTCAAATCTCCTTTGCCTTTTTCTCTTATTATTATTGTTCGTTGGTCTAGTTTCCACTACTACCTCTTTCTTATTGTGCTCCTGGAGGTTGAGCGGCTCATTGCTGATCACACCGATATTATCCTCAACCAATGTTTCATTTCTTGTTGAGTCTGGATGATCTCCCTCGTCACTCGGCTTTTCTACCATTTCCTTCTTATTATTTTTATCCCCAGGAGCTTCCTGATGATCGTCAGGGTTCCGGTGATCATAATCATCAGGGCTTCGCTGATGAGCATCACCACCGCCTTGACAGATTTGTTCGAGGTCACTGAGAAACCTGTAGTTTTTGGTGAAGCAAATGTTGTTGAAGTATCTGCTTTCTTCTTCAAATTTCTCTTTGCATTTCTCCGCACTCCTTTTGAAACCAAGCTCTGCTAGCTTCCTGCTTCCCCCCATAAATATATATCAAACCAGCAGCATCAATAATCAACAGCATTTATTCGCTCCATTATTTACTCCTAGCTAGCTAGTATCTAATTTAACTTCATAAAATATATATTGTGTACGAGGGGATCTTTATGTTTTTAGTGAATATATATGTACAAGACGGTCGTTTCTCACTCTCTCTCTCTCTCTCTCACATACACCTGAGTAAACAGTGACTAAAATTCCATTAGTATTGATAAAGCATCAATCCTCACTTAATTATAATCAAATTTCATCGGTATAATCGTACAAATAAGCTTAACCAAGTTGGCTAGAGCTGTGTGTGCTCCCTTTCTGAGATCATATTCGAATCTTCATCTCCGTTGTTTAGATGAATTTCCTAAATGTAAACCTAGCTAGCTAGTTCATCAATAAACTAATAATTAAGATAATCATAATAATGGATAAGTAAATGAACGAATTACATGTAAGCTTACCTTGAGACATGTTCCCAAGTGAACTCAGGGAACCAATTCTCCATGGTAGATCTGATCCTGAGAAGTGCAAGCAATTCATCATTACTCCAAGGATCACTACTGATCGGTACATTTGATGATGCCGGTACTGATGAAGATCTATCTCTTTCAATCTCCAAATTATTGTTTATGGAGATTGAAACAGTACTAGAGTGTTCTTCTTCCTCCTCGAGATTTTCGGGGGTGGCGGTGGATTGGCGGTGCAGTTGCAGAAGCTGATGATTCTGATGAAGCAGATGGGGTTGAATTTGCAGGAGTTGATGATGAAGATGAGAAGGGTCGTTGTTATTGTTGTAGGGATCAAAAGGAGCACCAGCAGGGACATGGAAGGTATTGATGTTATTGTTTGGTGGTGCAGAAGGGAAGGAGGAGAGAGGGAGGGGGAGAGGAAGAGGCAGGGAGGTTCTTGAGGATGCTATGAGTTGGTGCAACTGCTCAGCTGGGACTCCATCAAACATGTTTGTGTGTGTTTTGTGTGAGAGTGTGTGTGTGTTCCTCTTTACCATTCCTTTTGTTTGCTCACTGTAAAATAGCAAAATGTTAGAAACTAAGACTACAAAACACCAGAATCTTCTCTCTCTCTCTCTCTCTCTCTCTCTCTCATCAAGGACTTATTTTGTCCTATGCTTCCTATCATAGAAGAGAAAAGATAGCCCACCACACCGTTTTGGAAGAAGGTGAAGTTACCCTCAAACTGGGAGAAAATTATTTAGTACATTAAAATGTGACTTGGTATATTCACTACATTGACACAATTATTATGGGTGAATTTGAAATTGTTTCAATGATTACATGTAATAGCAAGTGATAACATAAAAAGTTGATTGACATTGTATTTTAAATCATATTATTGTGTCTATCGTAAATGTCAATCATTCTAGCTAGTGTCTTATATGGAAAATTAAAACAACTTGAATTTGAATTTGTTTATATGATTACATGTAATAGTGATTAACAACCGCGTTTAGAATTGTGTCATCTAGAGAATACGAAGAGAAAGAGCGAAATCAAGTCTTCTATAGCATTCAAGTACCAAGGGCGCAAGGACGAAACTGCTTTCTAGTACGAGGCTACGGTAAGTTGAGTTTGCGTCAAGTAACTTTTATAATTGTATGACTAATAGTGGTTGTTTTCGGACAGGCAAAGTGTCTAAGAATTCCCAAGTGGCGGGTTTAACCTCATTGAATTGTTGTGCACTATGACATTGTTTTCTGCACCATTTTCAACCGATGCTTAACATGATAAATATTTACTTTCAACCTATACCATCTGAATTGGTGTTAACAAAACTTAAAATTGGTTAGAAACTAGCACGTAACCCATTAGTTCTATGTAAATTTAATACCATACTACTCAAATTTCACCTTGTAACTGTTAAGGTATCCTTTACGTGAGTTCTTGCTTTAAGTATTCATATGTGACTGTGTTACTCCACATTTCTCTACTTTAATACAACAATAACAATAACAACAAAGCATATCCACTAAGTGGGGTCGGCTGTATGAATCTTAGAACGCCAATGTGTTTGATTTTGCACCAAGTCTTCAGTTAGCTCTAAATACTTCATATCTTTTCTTTGAGTCTCTTTTCAAGTCTTCTTAAGTCATCTTCTACTCCTTTTAATCTAAATCTCTGTCTCATAATCACATCTTCTAACCAAAGCATCTGCCTAATGAAATAAGCACAATGCCTTAGTCAGTTGACATAGCGAGTTACAAACTCTTTCCAATTACATGACCTAAATCTCACCCCTAATAACCCAAAAGAGTCAAAACCATACAAGTAGTGATAGGATTGGGGAGTGTGATCCACGAGGGGTGAGGTGAGAATGGTGTTGGTAGGTATTGTATTTGAGGAAAATGATACACAATCTTTAAAAAATTTAATTTCCGTTTTGGTAGTATTTGGGTGGCCTTCAGAATCCTATGCAGTAGCTGATGCTCATGATGGTGTAATTAACCGCAAGGAGATGGCAGGACACGTGAAAACATGCAGACACTGGGACCAATTTTAATTTAAGGAAGGTGGGACTCTTCCCAATGGTACAATGGATCACAACTACTACTCAACATGCACCTCATCAGTCCGTCATCTAAACCGTCTAATTTTTAGGTCTTTTTTAATTTCTTAATCATTGTCAATTTAAACCGTCTAATTTTCAATTCTTTCTTAACTTTCATTAGTCTAAAACGACTAATATTTAGGTATTCGTTAAAAGATTTTTCTTACAAAAAATCACTTGAATATGAAATCACATGCATTTATTAGTAGATCTTTAAAGAAAATAATAATAATATATATATCGTAATTTTCCATGGTTATTCTTAGTGTTTTGTACTCTAGAATTTTATAGAATTTTAATCGATATAATATCATTCTAAAGAATTTGAAATATTTGTGGGTTTTAATTTGAGTTGGCAATTTAAACAAAGAGAATATTACTTTATGGTTAAGTACATTATTCACCAACTTGTTATGAGTTCAAGTGAAAGTGATGTATCATACAGTGTCATCCACCTTTGCCATATTTTTTTTTCCAACATGAATGACTAGTCATGTGGTGTGGTCGAGCTTTTGCTCATACTTGTAACTTAGCAGCGATGATTGATGATGAAACTTAAATTAGGTGAGTACTAAATGTACTGTAATTCTATTTCATTGTTACAATTGATATATGACGTCATATTAAGGACACCTATCCTACTCGAGTTAGTAAAGGCATCTCACTCACTAAGAATTGGTAACAATAATACATAAAGAACTCCAAGGATGTGGTGTTTTGTTCTTATTGATACTGTGATGGAGTTTGTGGTTGCACGTAGAACCTGGAAGGCAGCTTATAATTAATATTAATACTTGTTATACGAAGAACATCAGCGGGGATAGCTCAGTTGGGAGAGCGTCAGACTGAAGATCTGAAGGTCAGGTGTTCGATCCACCTTCACCGCATATTTTTTTTATTTTTTTTTATATTAATATTTCATTTGAGTAATTGGAAGTAAGAGGTCTTACATTTTACTTCCGTTAATGGTGGAGTTTTATACTAATTATTGTTCTTACGTTTGACTCCCGTGAATAACAAGTTTGACACCAAATTCTTGTAGCAAGCTCATCGTATTCAAAATGGCTCTCTGATAAGTTTTATACTAATTTATTGTTCTTATGTTTGACTCGCATGAATGACGAGTTTGGCACCAAATTCTTCTAGCAAGCTCATCGCATTTAAAACAGCCCTCTGATGAGAGAAATTACATGAAAACAAGGACGTCAAGGCGGCTGCGTCTCAAAACCTATCATCACCTTGCATGCATGTTTAATTCAAGTCTCTCAAAGGGTTATTTTGTTTATTGCAAACAAATAAAAGCAAACTGACCTTTATAACATATCTGAAAACGACCCATGTCATGGAATATTATTCGAAGGTAAAATACAATTGTATTTCTGTGTCAATCAACAAAACTAGTCGGAAAATTAACACTCGATTTGTTCCGAAAGGCGAGAACTTGGTGTACGAAAGAGTGCCATCTTTGTTTGCTCCCATGCCAGATTGACGTCCTTTTTCGACTTAGTTCCCCGCCGGTAGGAATTGTGTCTTCTCGGATGCCATAGTTCACCGCAAGTAACACGGCCTCATGCTAGTTTAGCGTTTTGTGAAACGCAACCTGCAAGAACAAAATTTTGTTTAACTGACTGAGCTAACCGGAATGGAAATTGACCATAGTCAGGTTTACGAAAACATATGTTGAATTGGTAGGGCCTATAAATCTCTCTTGGTAAGAAATGCTGCGATCTATAGCATTGGGAACGAGGGACAGAATAAGAAAACTTTTTAAGGGAGGTACATACAGATGTCGATGTCTTCAGAAGCTCTCGGATTGCCATTGTTGCATAACATGAAGCTGGGAGAGTAAAGCTCAACTTGAGAGCCATCTGAGTTTCCTGAGGATTAGTGTCGCCGAGCGATCCAACTTCCGGCACCTTTTCTCCCTTGTCCCCAATATCGTTGTCAATGTACTCTGACTGTTTTGCGCTGTCATGCAAACTTCCATCTCCATTTACACTGGATGGATCCTCTTTGTCTACCTTAGCAGGTTTCGCTTTGGAAATTTTGTCCAAGTCGGTATCCACCAAAGGTACATTACCATCAACATATTTTAGTATTTCCCTGTAACAATGAAAATCAAACAATTACAGAACACTGTCATTTGGTAGCTGAAGTATATCAATTAACTTACTAAACATGAAAAAACGAGAGTAGCGGTATACCATTCAAAGTCCATTGGTTTTTGGAAGACCCGCCTATAATTTCCTGTCACACTTGTTATTGAGAATTCACTAAAAAGAGCAACAAGATGTATGCATTTAATTAGAATAGAAACCCGTGAGAGAGTTAAGGGGCGAGATGACGGGGGAAAATAGGTACATACTTGACATTATGTACGGTCTCTGTCAAGCTGATTGCATCCTGATTAACACATATAAAATTAATTCAGGAGGAAAATAAGACGGATTAGAACTTAGAAGTCAATAAAATTACAAAATCAAACAAACAGCAGGGGAAGATGGACATTGTTGCTGAGAATAGAAACCTTCTTTGCCAAATCATGAAAGACATCAGCGATATCATTTTCTGGAAAAATGACCCTTGAACTGCAAAACAACAAAGTATTAAATAACTTCCGCAATCTGAGACGGCCTGGGAAGTATACAATCAGGGAAAATAGTCAATTTTCCCTTACCCGGGCATAGGAAGGACAACATCCTCAATTGTATAATTTCCACTCTGGATATCTTCTGCAGTTACAGCCTGCCAGATGGGTTGCATTCATAGATTAAGTTACTAAAGTAGCTGTAATTATAGCATACTATTTAGGACGGCACAGGAAAAATATTTTCAACAACGAGGACGCAACTAACCTTCACAAGATTAAGCTTTTCCTCAGGAAGATTTGTTTCAGCTATATCACCTAAATCATTAGGATCAAGCATATCATCACTGTTTTCATCTATGCACTCAGAAGTAACAACTTCGGTCACCTTTTCAGTTTCATTTCCTTTACAAAATACCAAGTCTCCCAACACAACTCGGTCAGTTCCTGCCACATTGTGGAATAAAATTGGGTTTTACAAAAGTATATGATACAAAGATGGTTGCAATAAAGCTTTGACAACTGTAACAATAATGATGGTGACGCAATCAGTCCACGACAAGAATAAATGAATTGGTTTTGCTCCAATAAATAACTGGGGGCCTACCATATTTCTTCACTCTCATACTTGCAGCATGGTTCCACAAATAGCTTTGGTAACTATGCACATACCTGAAATAAGGGTGATAAGTATGCACCAGAAAGTGGTAAAACCATCACATGATATAATACAAATATTTCCCTGTATATACTATATTATATATACAGCATATATGTTCAACTGTACCTAAATTAAGCTTGTATTGATTGACTTGAACACAGAAAAAGCATAAACATTAACTGAAGATTGACTCCGTTTATGAAGTTAGAAGACAGAACTAATTCTGCTGGAAAATCTCTTACATCATCCTCAAAGTTCTAGGAATAGCTTTCAAGGCCTGCAAGTAGTTTCCGGGGCATTTCTTCAGACACTGCAACTGTATGAGAACAAAGAAGAGGAAAAAGTAATGATCATCCATGAACCGCAAGATGAAGTAATCCAATTTAGTAATATCATACAAATATTATGATCGCCATGCCAAATGCATGAAAATCACGTAAAGGATGCACAATGCTAGACAGGGAAGGATTACTCTAATAAACAAAAGGATTTAGATGTAGAACTTAATATTTCGGGATAGTTTACAGAATCAAGAAAAAACTAGCATGTTCCAACAAAGCAGTCGTAGTTGGTGACTTGGTGACTTACTATAGCTCTTTCAGAGACCAGATGTCGAGGTAATTTCCTCAGGGTCCCTTCAATGTCATTAGTTTCCTTATAGTATTCTCGTGCCTCTGTAATCACATTCCTTTGTAATCGAAGATCCAGTTAAAGAAAACAAATACCAACAGAACAATATAGCAGCATGTACTAAACAGTTTAGCAAGAAGTAGTTAAGTATAGAAATGAAAAGAAAAGTATCCTCACAACACCTACAAACACAAAAAGGATATCCCCTTCTCTTGGATCAAGGAACATGCTTACAGTAGATTTCCACTCTCCTCTGAGTAGTGAAGCTCCAATATGGTGAGTTGGCACAGAACCGCTTCCAAATCGCTGAATTCATTACCATGCATGCTATAAATATCTTACTAACCACAACAAAATGTAATCTACATGCCTCAAGAATATAAAATTCTCACCGCTAACATATAGATGGTCTAAAAAACATTTTTTATTTAAGACAACTTATGAGAAACATACAGCATGCGCAACGACTTGAAAAGGTGTTTTCAAATATTCTAAAAGTAGAATATACTTGGGGCAAAAAATGTCACATAGCTTTAGATACAAAAGAGAAAACATCCACTTGTCCAAACAATAACGAACAAAACACCTACATATCAATAACATTTTATGCAAGTAAGGAGTCTAAACCAGGACAAGATATACTCAGAGAGAGAGAGAGAGAGAGAGAGAGAGAGTACTTGTAAACCAAAGTAGTTAATAAATCCCTGCTTTCCCAAGGCACTTGCGGAGGCTTTGATGGTATCTTCAGAATCTGCAACAACTCCTCTGAGAAGTAATGTGAGTGCACACAACGAGCAAATCAGATGGCGAATAATATAAGTAGCCATGAGAGATGTTTCATTCAAGTGCACATAAATGATTACAGGGAACATGCTTACCTCAATGTAATTGTAAACCGATTTCCCAAGAGTTGGCCAAGGACAAGTCCTTCTGTCACATAACTGGATAATGGAACTATCACATTAGTATGCATTAAAACCCAATTGACCGGGAATCCTATCATTCACAATTCATCAGTCTTACCAGAAGTCACCTACTTTGATACCGATCAACCTATCATTAAGAGCAGCCAATTTACTTGCAAGCTTCTTAAAAACGGTTACCTGGAAACACAAAAGAAAATGAAGTTCAATAACCCTTTGGGTGACCACTATGCTCCGACTAGAAAAACTGGCACTTGAGGATTCATGGAAGTAGACATACTTTGGAGGGGAGTTACTATGAGCCTAATAACTAAAGGAAATTCAACTTATAGAATATTGGTCAGAATAAGCAAAAAGTCTAGTGAGTATCAATTACCCTCTGAGTTGTGACAGCACGCTTATCCTTTGTACCCGCAAACCCAAAGGACCTTGGCTATGGATAAAAACATATTAATCTATCAAATGAAAGATAAGTAATATGATATCTATACATTAAGTCAAAGATGACAAAAAAGAACCATAAATTTCTACAAATCTGACCAATCTCAACTGTTTACATGGAAACCAATAATCCAAGTTTTGCTCTCTGTCATGTGGTGAAAATTAAGTAGAGAACTAACTAAGAACAACTATATTTCATCACCACTAAAGTACCATACAGGTAATTGCTAAATATTCAATGAAGACCACAGAAAACTTTAATTTAATAACATCAGTAGGGACAAAGGTGCTGCAAATGGACCTTAACAAAATCAAAGACAACAATAGATTAATAAAATACACACTTAATATTGAATGTGTTAACTGTGTCCATGCATGCAGGAAGGAAGCAGATAGCAACGACTGACTCTATAATGAGTTCCTTATCAAAACCCTTGTATCATTTTCGAAAAAGGAGCAACAAAAGCCCACTAATTACCATGTAAATAGATCAGGCAGTGGAGATGTTCACTTCCCAAACATTGTGAAAACAGTAGTCATGACTCATATGTCAAATGGTGTTCAAGTCAACTAGTTCTTAGCTGGAACCCATACCTGGACACCAAGCATTTTTCCTATAACTCCTAAGGCTTCCTGTGTATCCTTGTTCTCCTTGTAAAGATGAAACCTGTACATTCGCATTAGAAGAACCTTTCAGATAAGCTGACACAGAGCTTTAATAAACAGAGCATATAAACCTTTGCGAGCCCAATGAGAAAAACACATCAGGTTATTATTTGCATACAAGCTGACTTGGGAAGATGAAAGCAAGTTAACAGCCGGATTAGTAAATGCATAATTCACTGCTAGCAAATCGCTCTCATCAGTCATTGTTAAGGAGGGCACTTCAGGCAGAACAGTTTCAAAGGAATAAAGGAGAACGATGTAGATTAATTGATAAGTTAGAAGGTTTAGATATGAATAAATCAGACAGCTCTGCTGTGCCAATTACACCAAATCTCAATAGAGATATCTAGATTATGCAGGTACCTTTCTACCATAATAAGTTAAGAGATTAAATCTTTAAAAGAGAAGAACCACACAAAAAAACCCTTTACCTAAGGAACTTGCCAACGTGCTCCGACCAATCCTCTGAACCCCTGCTATCGAAAGGTTTATCACCTCTTTCTTTTCTTTTTCTGGAATTTCTGCCTCTGCTGTTCTGTCCTCCTGAATTTATTCTCACCCGGATGCATTTTGATGAAGCATCTGGTCCATCAACTGTGTCGGTGACAAGAAACTTGAAGTGCTGCTTAAAAAAATTATGCACTGCCTGGAAGACAGATAGTGCAAGCCACGAATGAAACCGAAAGAGAGAACTGGGTACTCATTTTGAAATATGGTGGCAAAGGAGGGTTACGCAGATTAAGTTTGGAAGATTATTTGTACTTCTTTTTCACATTAGCGGAAATCAAATACTCCGTTCCACCCTGACCTCTTTGATTGCACAAGTTTCATGTCCACGTTGCTATGCAAAACACTATCTAAATTAAAATAATCAGATAAGACCGAAAAACTAACCGTTCGATGAGATTTATCATAATCTGGGGAAAGAACAATAGGCATAACACCATCATCACTACTGGAATTAATTTGGTTGATAAAAGTTTCCAAGCGCTCGGCATCATTAGGATCAGCAAGAGCTCTAAACGATTCAATTTCAGTAGTATAATCTTTACTTGCACCATCACTTGTCGTTGTTCCACTTTCCTTAACTGCCTGAATACGGCCAAAGAATTACACTTCCCATAAATACTAAATTGTATATACAAATAGGTACTTCCATTTAAATCATAAGAACAAAAATATGAACTTATTTACCTCTACCGGCGCATCCAAGTTGGTTAAATGAACAACATTTCCCTCCTTATCTACTTCGTTTACCATAAAATCCGAATACCTATACGATTTACCAAGAAAACGAACGAACTTTAAAATATCGACAAATAATTTCTCTCTAAAAACAATGATTTATATGCAAATGTACGAATCCAGTTGAGGAAAATAACAAAAAAGATGCTGAATTCACATTCTGTGGTTATTAATTTTCAAGTTCCTAACTTTACAGAAAAATCTTACCTTTATCAATTTTTCCAACATTTTCTAGGCATCCAAACACACCGTAACGAAAATAAATAACTTGAAAATCCCAAACAGAACAGAATGCTCATATTTCACAGTAGAAATTTAAAATCCAGACCTTTGCTTTAAAACGCCGCGAAATCCGGGGAGCTGAGAGATGTAGCAGAAGATGCCAACGTCGGATTCCTCCGTGGTTTTTGTTGCCATTAGGGGTTTGAAGGTGGTGGTTGGCGGTGGTGGTGGTGGAGGAGTTGCAGAGCAGTAGGGTTTTAGCATAGAGAAGCACGATGGTGCGGGCTTAAGCCACATTTTGATTTCGGGGATACCGCTTTTTCCCGCGAAACGCACCGTATTGTCTCTACCCTAACCGTTTTGATATCTTTAGTTTTTCTTATTGCAAATGTACCCCTCAAACCTTAGTTTTTGTTACACTTAGATCCTCAGACCTTCTTTTTTTCTGGCAAACGCAGCGAATTGGACAAAAGTAATTAACAAAAAAATTGAAATATCCTAAAAGTTTAGGGGGGGTTGAATATGAAATTGAAGCTTTTTGGAGTTTACGATTGTGACCCTGAGCCAGTGAGAGTCGGCCGATAGTTGGAGAGGGAAGACAAGTGCAATTGTGGGAGGGTGTTCTCTCTCTCTCCCCCCTCCAATAGAAACAGATCGATCGTGAAGCAGGCTAGAGAGAGAAACACCTAGAGAGAGAGAGAGAGAGAGAGAGAGAGGAGCTTCGCTCGTTGGACTGGCGAAGATGGTGAGCAAAACGGAAGAAACCCAATTGAACAGGCTCGAGAACCAGGTCGACAATGGAGGAGGAGGGGCCTGGGAGTACCTCTGTTTAGTCAGAAAGCTCAAGGTCCGCCGCTCAGAGAAGGTCCTGAAGTACGGCCTGTCGATCTTGAACGACCTCAAGAAAAGATCCAGTCTTGGCTCGGAAGGTGAGTTTTCGAGCTTCGGTTTGTTGGTGATTCCATCTGGGTTTTGTGTTTGTTCAATTGGGTTGTGGTTAATTTGTGTTTTTGTGATCGTCATTGCTTGATTTGAATTGGGCATGGATTGGAATTGGTTATGGACTCTGTGCAATTTGTGTGTTTGAATTTGCGTAAATTCAATTGGGTTTGTACTTTGTAATTACTTTGCAGTTAATTTTGTGGTAGAAGCTTAATTTGAATTTGTGTGGTCAAGAAATGGATTTGATTGTTCGAGTTTGATATATTCTGTTGGTTTAACTTCGCCATGTGTATCATGCAACATGCTTCCTTCGATTTAGAGTTCTTATTTTGTTGGGGTAGATTTTGAGTTCTGACTAACAAGTAGTTTGCATTTTTTGGTGTAGAATGGACTTTATATGAGCAAGTTGCAATTGCAGCTATGGACTGCCAGTCTCTTGATGTTGCTAAGGTGTGATATGTTTTTGGCTTACACTTTTGAAATTGCTTAGCTATTATTTTTGAACTTGCAACTTTAGGCTTCCCCACTTAGGAAGAGGAGGGGAGAGAGAGAGAGAGAGAGAGAGAGAGAGAGAGAGAGAGAGAGAGAGGGAGAGGGTGGGTTGTTGAATGCAGATATTGAGTTTGGTATAGCCTACCCTGGAATTGAGAATCGTAAGATTTGTGTAAGGCGGATGTGCTATTTTGTGTTAATGGTGGAAGGGTTAATAATGCTATCTCATGTCTGCCTGCCTTGAACTTTTGCAGGACTGCATTAAGCTTTTACGTAAGGCATTTCCTGAGAGTAAAAGAGTTGGTAAGTTGAAATAACTAATTTGAATATTGTATGGAAGTCTGATTTTTAGATCCCATACAAGCAGGCTAGAGGCTTAGCTATTTGTTTTGCATAAAACACAGGCAGGCTAGAGGCTATGTTGCTAGAGGCAAAGGGATCTTGGGCAGAGGCAGAGAAGGCTTACTCAAGCTTTCTGGAGGAAAATCCACTCGATCAAGTAATTCATATAAAAACTCTTAACAGAAGGATCAATCCATATTTTTTAAGATTGATCCCATTGCTTTATCTTTTTGTTATATGAGAAAAATTGTATGTTCTTTTCTGAGAAAAGATAAAGGAAAATGCTTATGTAACTTTCAATTATTTTTCATATGCAGGTGATACATAAGAGAAGAGTAGCTATGGCAAAGGCGCAAGGAAACATTTCAGGGGCCATTGAGTGGCTTAATAAATATCTGGAAATGTAAGGCATAAATTAAATTCCTTGAAAGAAAAAGATTTTATGTCAGCAAAAAGATGTTGCTAAGTTGTATTTTCCTGTTTTGACAGATTTATGGCCGATCATGATGCGTGGAGAGAGCTGGCTGAAATCTACGTTTCCTTGCAAATGTATGTTTACAACAGACTTGTTGAAACTTTATGTCTCCAAATTGCCTATGCCTTGTTGCTGATTGATAAATTATGTTTCTATGTAAACTAGGTACAAGCAAGCTGCGTTCTGCTATGAGGAGCTGATATTATCACAACCTACTGTTCCTCTTCACCACTTGGCTTATGCTGATGTAAGTGGCTTTGGTTTTTTCATTACTGCAAATAAATCCTGTTTGCTTTATAGACATTCTTATTTGCTGGTTTTACGGCCAAAGAATTTTTTGCGATTAAAGAAAAGCTCCATGTACCCTCTTGTTGAACGGTGTAAAAACTAAAATTTGCATGAGCATTGGCATCTCGTACGTAAATTTAGTCATTCAAATGCAAAAGTTACATACTTGATTTAAAATGGTGCATAATGTCCAGCTAACTCCAAATATGAACACCTAGTATCTAACTTGCAATTTATATCCTTGATATTTTGTTGCCCTACTATGTGGAAAGGAGTCAAACAACAAAATGCGAGTACTCTGGGAATAAAGAAATGAAGCTGTGCATATTCAACATATAATTATGATTACATGTTTAACAGCACTAAACACCCGCATTAAAAGTGAGTAAATGTCTGATAGTTTGCTTTTTGTGGCAACAGGTGCTATACACGCTTGGTGGACTAGAAAACCTTCAGACAGCAAAAAAATACTATGCATCCGTTATAGACTTGACTGGGGGCAAGAATACCAGAGCACTTTTTGGTATTAACTTGGTGAGTTCTCTCTCCCTCTTGAGGTGCATTGATTCAGAGATACTTATATATATATATTGGAGCGATAGTTTAGACCGTTGCTGATCCTGCTGTGGCCGAGGGTCATCTATTTAATTTGATTGTTCAAGTTTTAGACACCGTATATTTAATTTGATTATTCAGATTGTTTTCATCCCTCTTTTCTTGCTCTTGTGATCAACTTGAATTACTGAAAGAACGTCTTAACTCCTGCCTTCCAGTGCACTTCTGCCATCGGACAGCTTGCGAAAGGAAGGAACAAGGAAGACAAAGAGAGCTTAGAACTACAATCACTGGCAGCAACGGCCTTGGAGAAAGACTACAAGCAGAGAGCACCTGCAAAACTTTCCCTGCTTACGACAGCCTTGAAAAGCTTGAAAGTTTCATCATAACTCCTTAGTCTTCGAAGAATCTTCGTATAGCAAAACAGGTGAGTGGCGACTTGGTGCCGAATGGCTGTGGATTACAAGAATCTCATATCTTAGTTACGTTAAATGATTTTTTGTTCGTGTTTCGACTTCCCTGTGTCTTTTTTTTTCAAATCCTTAATAAGAGGACGAGATGTATTCTTTAGGATGGCCACAGTGGCTAACTAGGAATGTATGAGTAACACCCTTTCTTCTTTTCGGATTTAATTTCATTTTCCCTTTGCTTTTTATCTTAATTCAAGGATTAGGAGTACACATTGATGTTCTTGACATCATACAATTTTTCTGCCCAGTTTCCAGTTCAGATCCTCGGTGATGTTCTAAACTAATCTAATCAATGAAAAAAGCGATTCGAACTAGGGTGCACAGGCCAAGAGGGCGAATACTCTGCCATGTCAAACTGGCATAACCGCAATCGCTTATAATTCATGTTCACAATCGCTTATAACTCAAGCAATCCTCATAAGCACTTCTGCTAAAAATGCTGCATTAAAATTTTGACTAAAAATTTACTTGCTTTCCAAAAAAGTATCTGACTTTTGTTTCTCCTTAAAATGCTTCAGAAAACAGATTTTTTTTTTTAATCCTCTTGACCCTTCCACAAGCAATCTAAACCAGACCACAAACTAGAGACGTAATTAGCATACCAAGCTTTGGAAACGCACATGCACCGGATCAAATCTGTGGTATGGAGCTGTAAAAAGATGTCGAAGAGTAGCTCCGGTGGGATGCATGACATGGTTGAAGCTTGAGGTTTGGTGTGGTGTGGTTTTCTAGGGTTTGATCAGGTCTCGAGCGTTGTAGACACAAGCGTACGTGAGAAATTAGGTCATGAGAGTTATAATGCCCTTAAGTTTATGTTTACCATAAAAATTAGGGCAAAAATTAGGTATTTGAGATGGAATAAAATTAGGGAACTTTAACGAAAAGCTCGCGGTACTGTTTACTTTAACAAAAAACCACATTTTTACACTAAAAAGTCAATCCTAGTACTATTCACTTTACCTCTTATTTTGTCTTTTTCGTTAAAACTCAAAGTTTTCGAGTCATTTTCACTAGTTTTCTCTAAAATTAAACAACAAGACTCGTGCAATCAAAAACGAAGAAAAATTGAAGAAAAAGAAGTCCATTTCAATCCTAATTCCTTATCACCGTCCACTTTTATCGTTCCAAAATTTCTCCATGTACTATTGCTTACTCTGTTTAATAGTATTATGTCGACCTTCCTTCCAAAATTTAATGATTGCAATTGAAAACTCGATCGATCAGTGTCCCTCAACCGGAAATCTCTTGTTTCCTTTTCGGCACTTGTCAAGCTACCTTGGCACTAATGCGTGAAAGTATGTACCTCTGATCATGCAGCTTGCAGTCATACAAACAAGTACATCGGTTTGGAACGTCGAGAGTGGCTTCCTTCACACTTCGGCTGAACTCATCTACATTAAAAGTTCCTAGGTGTCGAGCGCGGATGTCCATGTAGTTCACTTTGGAGCATCCATACAGGTTCAGCAACTTAAAATCTGCATAGTCTGAAACAATGGTCATCGATTCAAGGTTTCCTGCACTAGCAGAAACAGTCCTGCAATCGCAATCGATAACTTCCAAAGATTTAAGAGTGGAACTATTTATCGAAATATTCCAGAACATGTCGGTACCAACATCAGAACATGAAACGATCGACAAATTCTCAATGGAAGGGGAAAGGTCTCCTTTCGAAGATGATAGCAAGCCTCTGAAAGATGAATATCCGTTGAAGCGGACAGTTTTAAGGGTTACAGTTTTTAAAGATGGAAGCGATACAGGTAAGCTATGGCGGTCAATATTTACAGTCACATGCTCTAGTTTTAGGGTGGTTAAAGATTTTGAAGTAAAAAGGGTTTGAGGTAAGGTGTAACCTGCTTTCCCTCCTCTTCCAAGGAGACTAATATCTAACTCTTTGATGTTTCTCTCCAGACCGAACCTCAACCACTTGTCTACGACAGTAGCTTCGTCCTCAAGTAATGAATACCTAACCATTCGAATCCTGAATTTTTCCACGAGCTGCTGCTGCTGCTGCTTGTCTTTCTCGCGAAAACCCACAAACCAACTGAACATGTTGATGAACTTTGCATGTTGACGAACTACGTGGTTGTCATCGTCATTGTTATCATGAAGCGGCTCACCCTCCTCGTCGAAATCTAAATGTATTGCGGGGAGGGCAAACCATACACTTTGCCATTGCTTGGAAAGAAAGCTCATGAGGACGGAAGATTTAGTGGGAAGGAGACGGAGGATTTCGCCGATGATATCATCTTCTAATTGGCGTTCCTCATTTGTTTCCTTACTGTCCGTCTGATTTTCGAGTTTTCTTTTTTTATTTGACGCCATGATGTTGGTTCTCTGCGATTTTCATTTTGTAGAAGAAGCCATAAGCTGCTGGTCGTAGAAGGATGATAATATATGTTGGATAATGGCCAAATGTTTCCTTGTTTTGTGGCTTGTTTTGTGGCTTAAATTGCTCCATGTTTTGTGGCTTTTTCAAAGCCATGTTTTGTGGTTTTTTCAAAGCCATGTTTTGTGGCTTTTTCAAAGCCATGTTTTGTGGGAGAAGGCTTGGATTAAGAAAAGCATAAAAAGAGAGCATTTGGTAAAATAAGGATACGGATGAGAGAAAGAAAGCATCCAAAAGAGATGGTGTGAGCATTTGGCTCTACCATGGGCATGGGTGAGAGAAATCAAGAGAGTTAGAATGAAAGATCTCTTGTGAAAGAACTCTTGGGGTAGAGTGAGGCTATTGGGAAAATTCTGTGAGTGGGTGTACAAGGGATATGGGATTGGGTTATGTCGATTTAACTCATGTGTAACTTGTACTGTTTTTCTCATAGTGAAGAGCAATATCTCTCCGAGGACGTAGGCAGGTTTTTGCCGAACCTCGTAAATTTCTCGGTGTCTTTATTTCTTATATTTTATTTTGTTCAACTGTGTGTGATTTTGGTGAGGTTGTAATCTGAATCTCGGTTCCGCACTAACGAACGGGCCAAGGCACAACAATTGGTATCAGAGCATCGTTGGGGGCTTTGGTTCGTTGGAGGTCCAGATTTGTTGTTCACCATGGAATTTTCAGTTGAGCAGTTTAAAGGGAGAGGCGGTTTTGCTCTTGGTAAAGGAGAGTAATGGAAGCCTGAAGAAATGGAAGCCGTGTTTAGGGATGCTTGGATCAACTGCGAAAGTTGATGTTGAGGAAGAAGACAAAGGCCTCTTTCTTCTTACCTCACTTTCAGATTTGTACGAGAACCTTGTGAAACTTTACTGCAAGGAAAGAAATACTAAGTTTGGAGCAGGTGCAAGCTTCTTTGGTGTGGAATGATACACAAAAGAGACCATGGATGATGGTGGGCACAAGACTGCTTAAGCTATTCAAGGTTGAAATCGTGGAAGAAAATTGGAAAGAGGATCTGAGAGAGACAGCAGGTTCAGATCCTGTTCCGGAGGCAAGGGTCCACAGTGCCACGGGTGCAAGGCCGGGTTAGCAAGTTTTTGGTGGAAGACTTTGAGTATGCCCTCTAGGTACTCGAAGCAACACTTCTCCTGGTGATGTTTAGTCTCAAGTGTTGCAGGGGTTTTGCAGCAGGTGGAGCTATGGGATTCACAGGTGATGAGAAGGTCCTGAGGTAGGAGGAAGTGTGGGAATTTTGTCTGGCTTGATGGGTTGTTGCTGGAAATAGGCGCGCTGACGAGTTTCCAGGTTGCAGACAATGAAGAGGAGGAAAACCTGCTGGAGAAGACGAGGATGTGTTGAGATCCTGTCTGAAGCTAAATGGTGATTTTTAGCTTGCAACAGCTGCACATGCATTGGCAGTAACTGAATCGGAACAGGACCAACGAGGTTGATTTAGAGTGTGCATGCTAGTACGTAAAGCCAATGGACTTTGGTACAATTTGGCCAAGGTGGAGATTGTTGGATAATGGCCAAATGTTTCCTTGTTTTGTGGCTTGTTTTGTGGCTTAAATTGCTCCATGTTTTGTGGCTTTTTCAAAGCCATGTTTTGTGGTTTTTTCAAAGCCATGTTTTGTGGCTTTTTCAAAGCCATGTTTTGTGGGAGAAGGCTTGGATTAAGAAAAGCATAAAAAGAGAGCATTTGGCAAAACAAGGATACGGATGAGAGAAGGAAAGCATCCAAAAGAAATGGTGTGAGCATTTGGCTCTACCATGGACATGGGTGAGAGAAATCAAGAGAGTTAGAGTGAAAGATCTCTTGTGAAAGAACTCTTGGGGTAGAGTGAGGCTCTTGGGAAAATTCTGTGAGTGGGTGTACAAGGGATATGGGATTGGGTTATGTCGATTTAACTCATGTGTAACTTGTACTGTTTTTCTCATAGTGAAGAGCAATATCTCTCCGAGGACGTAGGCAGGTTTTTGCCGAACCTCGTAAATTTCTCGGTGTCTTTATTTCTTGTATTTTATTTTGTTCAACTATGTGTGATTTTGGTGAGGTTGTAATTTGAATCTCGGTTCCGCACTAACGAACGGACCAAGGCACAACAATATAATCAAATTAACCCAATTAGGAAAAGGAAACGTAATCCAACTAGAAAGAGGAAACTCCCTCTTCAAATCTTGAATTCTTATACATGTATATTGTCTGATGTCAACTACCTGACGCCCTTCCTCTCCTCCTTTATCTGGGCTTGAGATCGGCAGCATAAGATAAACTTATACAGATGAAGTTAATTTGATCATCCATTAGTCAATTAAAATTTTGGAAGGCATTTAATTAAATAAACTCCCTCTCCAAAATTACTGAAATCAGATATCTTTGATAATTAAGGGCATTTCCAATGGAAAAATATAAATTTGAGATGAAAAATCATATTTACATCCCGTTTTATATTTTCGGCAAATGTAAATGAATGTTCCACTCCAATGAGAATGACGCAAATTTGAGATCCTATTTAATTTTCTCTCTTTAATTAGTGGGATCCATCACCAAAACACGTAAAAAAGAATGTAATTATATGTTTTTATTTACATCTTCCTGCAAAGACGAATAATTTACATTCGCCATTAGAGAATTTTCCCCAAAAAAAAGAGGTAAATTGCAATTGTTGAGCCTAAAATTTGAGGAGAAACACGGAATTACATATAAGAGAAGGAAACGTAATACGAACTTGAGATCGTTTTAAGGGTAACAACATAAAGAAAGCAAAAAAGCCACATGGTTGTTGTATCACAACAAGGCAGCAAAGAATGCGTTGAACTGGAGTGCTTGACTGAATCTTCTGTATGTCACCGCTTTCGTGGTGATTCCAGAGTTGGGAATGGTGGAATGGATCTCAGAACTAACTTCCTGCCGCCCCTCCAAGCTGATCCAAACTCGCTGCTGCTGTAAGGAGGCGATACCCTCTTTGAGTTTGGAGAGGTTGACTTCAAACCGCTAGGTTGTGAGCAACTGCTAGCCAACGTCTCAGGAGTTACGTCTTCTGGAATTGCCTGAAGATGCTTTTCATGCTGAGAAGATGACAGAACAGAATGCAGAGAAAATATTTTCGGTCTCCCGTTGGAAGAAGATGTCAGTTGGCCTGGAGGAGGTCTGCAAAACAAAATAACTTCCAAACATTTTACAACGTATCTCAAAGAAGTTACATACGGTCCAACGAATCAGTGGATCAAAAACCTGCAAATCCCCGAAGGTGCCATTAGGAGATCTTGATCCCTCACTGTCGGTAAATTGACATTCACTGCATCCTTTCTCGGATCTACTGATTCATCTCCTCCAACTTCACCATGTTCAGCTTCTGTTGTATAAAGAAGAAGAATAAATTATAAGTACCCAAATTGTGGATCCTGTAGGAAACATAAAATGATTTGTTAAATTCCGTATGACTATTTGCTCACCATCTTTCCGACCAAAAGTGTTTTTACACCCTACACATCTGCAGAGGATGCCGCATCCAGCACCGCCCTTGGTAAGAAAATCAAAGGAACCATATGAGTTGGTAGATACATACCAGAAACTTTAATAGATTTACAAGAGCGTTACATTCATGCAAAAGAGGCCAAATTCCGGTACCTGAAAGCATTCACAGTACTTTTTCAAGCAACCTGATTTTCTACAATTGCATCCCCTTTTATGCCTAGCTGAAGACGGAGTCGAGTTAGTTTCCTCCTGCATAGGGAAAGTTGTGGGTCTAAATGGTTATGATTTATAGGACAATGCAAATGCAATGGATTATCTCAGTTACGAATTCTAACCGCATACTGTGGAATAGCAACGGCTCTTGCAATCACTTTGGGAGCAAATGCAAGTGGGTTGCGGGATTCAATCAGTTTGCGATTCTCTAAAACAATGTTCTCATACATAGGCTTGTTGAAGCATTCTTGACATGAACAAGGCTCAATACAGTAGAGACCAGCAGCAAAACAATCGCAATAACTGTGTCAGAGAACTTAGGATGTCAAACTAAGAAAAAAGTGGAATCGAATGAACCCATAGAGTACAAGGCAAAAAAGCGAAAGTTGTAAATTGTAATCGAGTATAAAATTTTAAACTTCTAATTAGTAGATATAATGCACACATAAACTCATAATTTGCGAGATAAAGTATGCACAAAACTCACAGTTTCAAGCATTTTGATCTCTTACAATTACAGCGCTTGCAAGCCAAGCTTTCTACAACAGGCTGCAACTTAAGCCTGCAAGGTATTAAATGTTAAAACAATCGAATTCAAGGGAGTGGATCTAAATAATACAAACAGTCATCAGAATTTACGGCGCGTGCCTTTTCTTCTCAGGACTACTATGGTCAGGTTCTTGACCAACTGGTGCACATATTTGGGGGGAAGTTACTGGAACCTGAGCTTTATTTTTACATGATTCATCACAAGAAACCTCACTGGGAGTCAAAGAAGTACTAGATATCTTGGAATTTGGCAAATTAATCCCTTGAATCTCAGAAGCGTGAACCTCGTGCTTGACAACCGTACTTAAATTACTTTCAATAGTAGTTGCAAGAGCATTCAAGTGCAAACCAATACCAGGTAACCGAGAAGATGAATAATCACAACCTTTTATAGTTTGAACCAACTGCTTTTCAACAGAGGCGACTTCACAACTGGACTGTAGTGAGGCTGACGAACCGCCACTAGCATCTATTGATTTCCTTTTGTGCGTTGCTGGCCTTTCAAAATCCAAACAACGTCTGCGTATTGCGTATGACTGAGAACTAGGCTGAACATGGTCAGACAAAATTGTTGCATTACTATAAAATCGAAAAAGTAGGAAGCTGAGTACTACAAAAAATATTGGCCAAACCAGTATATTACCTTGCAGCTAGAATGTATACACTTGGGCGACTTTTCATCCACAATACCACTTGGATCATTAACATTTAACTTATCCAGTAAAGTTCTAGAAAGTATCGCCGGAGTTTCATCTGTTTCCTTAGTTCTCCCAATACCTTCTGGTTGATTACTGACCTTCCCCAATCTGCATTGTTCACTAGAATCGATAATACCAGAAAATTCCTTGACTTCAATATCATTGTCTCGTAGGATGTTTGACATAAAAGAGATTTCTCCAGGATCTACTGGTGTAGGATCGTGCCCTGCACAGTTCTCTTTAATGATTGTTGAATCAAATTTTAACTGATCATCAGAAATCAACCTCACCAAATCGCCTTTCTTCTGCTCAATTCTGTGAATTCTGCGCAAATGTGTTTCCCTCTCAAAAAACGAGTGCCTTCCCTTGGAATGATGCACATCATTGCTATGTGGGCTACCAGAACTATACTTCAAGTTATTTAGAAACTCAACTGGTAGTTCCATACTCTCAGTTGGAACTGCACTAGCAACCTCTACATCTGAAGAACTTCCGGATGCAAAGCATTCTGGTTGGTCAGCACCTAAATATGATTGCTCAACTGAAACCGGAACTCCATCACTTTTACTATTTGGGTTTCCACCCTGAAAGGAATTGGGTCTTGGTGAATCAGAGAAGTGGTGCCTGACAACATGAACAAAACATCAAACACTTACACAAATAAAACTAGTAAAACTAGCAAAGCAGTAAGATAAGATATGATTAAAACCATACCTTCTAAGTACAAATCTGGTTTCGGGGATGGAGAGATTCTGCGGCGAAGCGAAAATAGAAGGAAGAGATGCAAAAGCTAGGGAGTTGAAGGTGTGATGATCATTTCCTGCGGACTTCACCGGCTCAATTGGGGAAAGATTGCTAATGTAGTTGAACACAGGGGAATCCTGCAGAAATCATCAAACAGGAATCAATTCTCACTTCTCAATCTACGGTGTTGAAACAGCAATGAACTCGAAAGATTGAGAAAATTCGAAAGGGTTTTGCAGAAACCATCAAAGTTAGTGAAAAATTGCAACAAACCCATTTGTGCAAAAGTGGAAATGAACAGTTGGAAGTCACAAAAAATTAAAATTGAATAGAACCCAGATTTTAAAACTCAAAACCCAAATTACAACCTAAAGTTAGCAAATAAATTGAAGAATATGAAAAAACTAAACCCAGCAGAACCCATTTGACCCAGAAAAAATAATTTTAAAAAAAATTGAAGAAAAATAACCTCGTATTTAGCAGGAAGAGGTGTGGTGGGGGTGGTCTGATTGTTCTTCAGAGGAGTGTCCATGGCCGGAGATAAAGCTCCACCGCGTCTCTCTCTAGAACTTGAGAGAGAGAGAGAGAGAGAGAGAGAGAGAGTGAAAATAATAGAGGGGGGAGGAGCCGGGGAGGGGGGCGGCAAGGCGGGAAAGAGGGGTTTTTCGTTTTTTTTTATTTTTCCCTTTTTGTCCCTGTGTGTGTGGGGACCGCCCTTGACCCAAGGTGAGGTCTCGGTTCAGTGAAACGATATGTCGTAAAACGCCCTAATATATAATAAGAGTATAGGATCCCAAAACAAAGCCCAATTAGAATGCGACCACGGCCCACAATAAATGCCCCTTTTTCAATTTTATTTATTTTTTCACCTTTTATTACTTCTATCTTACGTCGAATCCTTATAATTGTTGTTGTTTGTGTAAGTTTATCTTATATTGCCGATCCCAAGCCCGAATAAAGAAAGATGAAAAGGGCGTCAGGTAGTCAACAGCCGGTACTTTTACATTGAATCCTTATGATTGTTGTTTCACGTTTTATTATTAAACTGAGTTACTAATCTGAAAATTTTCCTTATTTGGGTAGAAAAATCATAATAATCCAAGCCAAATTAGGAAACCTATTTGTTTTCGAATTCCTAAGTCGAATAGGAATATGATGTTTTCTTTCCTTTATAAGAACGTCAATAGGGGTAAGTCGCTTATTAGAAACCAAACCCTACAAGCCAAAACCCTACTAGCTTGCCCTAAGCCGATCGAAGTTCCATCAACTCACCACATTCCCACCATGAAAACCATCGAAATTGTTTTCTTCTCCCGCCACCACCGTGACTTCGATCGTGACCAAGAGACTCACCGTCACCGTGATCGTGAAGCTCACCACAACCGTGATGGTAAGTGTGACAGTTGGACTCGCAGTGATCATTACCGTCACCATGAGACTCATCACCGTCATCGGGACTATCATGACCACCGTGATCATCCGACTGATCCCCATTGCCGGGACTACAATGATCGCCGTGAACGTGAGCGTGGGACTCACCATCACCGGGACGGCCTAGTCACCAAAGTCCTGCGCGTGCCCACAAGACCAAGAAGCAAACGTAGGTTCGAATGCCGCTTGAAGAGAGAGTCTCTCCGCTCGTATGTCAAAAACCTCGGGCTTTCTCCGGGAGAGTTGCAGGAAAAGGTTCGGAAGATGAGGGAGGCGAGGGACTACAGCTTCTTGTTGTCGGAAGAATGCAACAATAGTGTCAATGGCGTCCAAGAAAACGATAATGCACAGCTTTACAGTGCGTTGACAAAATCTCTGAACCAAAATAATCCTCATCAGCTTGGTGCTGCTACATCAAAACTTAGCAAAGTCGAAAGTGACGAGAAGAAACATGGCGGCAGTCCAAGAAGCTTGCTCGGATTTGTTCCTGATGACGACGATGACGTGCTAAGTTCGAGGAAGAAAGGCTCGAAACGAAGAAGAGAAGGTGGTGAATCTGCTGCGAAGAAACGAAGAACATGCAAGATTGACGGTCGTGATGATGAACAATGAATACAGATGTATTTATGTTGTTCCAGACTTGATTAACTTTGGGGAATTATTGAATTAATCAAGAATTAAGAGGATTTAGACAGGTTTTAATTAGGTAGATTAGAGAGGAAGGAGAAATTAAGAGAGGTTTAATGATTAATTGTTACTTGGTGGTGAAGAAGCCTTTTATTCACGTTCTTGTTAATTCTTTTATGCATCCCACTACTTTGTAATTAACTTTCAGATGTAATGATCACATCCTTTTTCTGAAAAATATAAATTTGAGTATTTTTTGCTTGTGTCTGAAAACAAAATTTGTATAATATTTGTAGTATATGACGGGATTTTCTAGTGTATTCAAGGTATTTTATATTCATAAGTTTTTAACCGTAATTTATTGTTCAACGGTACAAAAATCAAGACTCTATAGTATAAAATACTTTGAAGCACCATGCAAATTTCATTAACCTGTTGATAATCACAATAGCATCTCCTGCAAAGCATAAAACTTTCGACAATTTACCAACAAATAATTTCAAATTATCCATAAAATTGCAAAAGAATTGTCTTTTCTAAATTTCCATTGCAGGATATGTTGTCAGCTTCTTACAAAATTAAAATACAATTAAAAAACGACGACCCAAAGTCAACAAGATTCCCAGAATTGCAAGGGTCGAGGAAAATTAAAATACAATTCAAAAGATGAAAATGTATACAAATGAATGGCGCATACAATTCAAAGAATTCTCCTAATACCCCCAACCATCTAATTTTTCTCCCATATAGACAAACCTACATTCAAAGAATTTGCTACTATCCAAAGGAAATTATACTGCCATATACATGCATTCAATGGAACTGCACTCCACACGCGCATCAAACTTCGATGGCTACCCGTGTTTTGATCGGTTTGAGCTTGATTCCCAGACTCTCAGGAGATAGAAGTTCGGGCGCTATGCATGAATTGATTTTTGAGGGGCTGGTGGGATTCGAATCGTTACTTGATGAGGAAGTAAAATGTAATTGTCTGTAGTACCCAAAACCCCTGAGGAAGAGTTCAATCGGAGTTATCATTGCGTATGGGTGCTCTTCTGTTACCAGCGAGCCACATGCCTGAACCTGTCAAGGGCAGCAGACAGTAAGTATTCCTATTGTAAGTATACTGATGGAGGGAAGATAAGTGAAATGTGTTAACTGCACGGAACCTACTTCAACAAGAGCACAACTTCTTCGGTTCATTTTGGCATTCATATAGACGGATTCAGCATGGAATGGACTTCTTTCACCCACAAAAATAAGAGTCTTACACTGCAAATTCTTCAAGCCCTGGGTAAGGTCGTGCCTCCTGCAAAAACACTTTCAATTAAGTCTTCAGATGCATAAAGAAAACATGCCACAAGACGTCAAATGATCTTTACAGCTTTCATCTCGCATTTGGAGAAAATTTAGAATATATATAAGTTTGGGACAGAACACATGTTTCGAGTAGTGAGATGATCTTACTCATTAGTTGCTTGAAGGAACCGCAAGACATTTGAACTTTGTCTTTCATCCAATAACTGTATTCACACATCAAGAAAAGAATCAATATTGATTCAGTCATGTACATTAGACAATGAGCACTTTGTTGACATCACATAACAAGCGCTCTTTACCGAGCAAGCAACAAATTGTTGAAATTTCCTTACCCTTTGGCAAGCTTCTATAACATCTGACTCTCCACCGTGTATGCCAGACCTAAGCTCCTTACTGAAGTAACGCTGCAGAAGGCATTCCTTTACTATATCACACATGCCATAAAAGTATAGCAAGTTCAACAATACCTGCAAATTTAGAGTTCATGAAATCTTAAGCAGCATGGTCGATGGGTCAATCTATTTTTACATGGAAAACCCTTACCAGCAAAAGTACATAAACAATATCAACTTAGTAACGGAAATTATAACCTTGTTGTAAATCCATTCAGTCCATGAAGGTACTTTGCAGATAGGAGACACAAGAATTAACCCAAGCACCCGTTCTTGATACTTCATCTGCCAATTGGAATCACAAAAGCCAATAACTAATTCAGAATGTCACATTATACCAAAGGAGCGAAGGAGATGAGAATATCAGTAACTTACTGCAAAGAGTGTAAGGATATAAGCACCAGCTGTTACACCCAAGCACAGCACTTCTTTCAACCTGATTTTTAAGTTCAAAAGAGATTAAAAAAATGAGCGAAAGAGACCTATGGAGAACTGCGAGTGAAATACATATATATATTATCAGTCAGAATAAAATTATAAATACACATATAGCAATGTCTGGCGGAAGACGCATCTCAAATTACAAGATTGTATCTCTCCAATGGTAATTATTGTCAGGTTATGCTAAAGAAGCGAAATGACAAATGCATATGTAGCCAATCGTAATCAGTATGGGATATTAAGGCAAAGGAAGTTTGATTGGCTGGAACCTACGAAACAGTAAAATAGGTTATCAATAACTTACCCAAAGAAATCGAGCACTTCGACCACCTGGTCTGCAAGGTCATCCACACTAAGCAAGGGGGCATCTGAAGAAATCACATCAGCTCCCAACTGCAGACACTCTTAAACAAATGAGGTAGAAAACTGAATTAAAATCACCAAAATGTCAACATTTTTTTTACTCAATTTCATATATACAACATATTTAAAGCGGAATATATGGGTGCATATAACTGACCTCATGGCCAGGTGCATCGATGTGGTAAATGCAAAAGTTATGAAGCAGCAATGACGCAGCATCCGAGCAAAAGAGGAGGCCTTGGAAACAGGACATGTCTATTCAAAGAGGAGGCCACTTAGAAACCACATTAACTTAAGACACATTTGGGATCAATAATAACAATGAAAAGCAAACTATGAAGCATACAAGGCCTACAAATTAATTTTTTTTTTTTTTTCAGAGTTTGGATTGAGCAGAAGAAAGAACACATTCCTTTTGAATCAACCGGTTTTCTTTCTTCTCTTTCGAGGATTAAATAATCAACCGGGACTAAACGGCAATTACACACTAAAAAACCTACAAACCAAATAGCACCTGGACATCCAAAGACTCAACCTTCTCCATACGTTTGGATCAACATAGGGATAAACAGCCATTTCAACTATCCAGAACAAGAACACACTAAATACCCCCAAAACAAATAACACCAGGACATCGAAAAATTCAACCTTTTTCATTCATTTGGATCAAAATAAAGATAATATGGCCATTTCAACTAATCCAGAAGAAGAACACACTAAAACCCCCTAAGCAAATTACACCCGGACATCAAAAAATGCAACCTCTTTCATTACATTGGCTCAACATAACTATAAAATCGCCATTTCAACTACCCTGAAGGATATTCATTAAGCTCCAAAATCAAAATAAATCAAACAAAACATCAATCCTAGCATATCTTCAATTCCAATGCAAGAAGCACTCTACAACCACCCTCAAAACAATACAGAACTTATCATTAACAATAAGAACAAGAACAGCCCCATTGGCCGAAAATCGAAAGGAACAAGAACAGAAAGCATACAATTGAGAGCAACATCAGGATATGTTATCAAAGCAGGCTTTCCTTGATCCCCACAAACAAGCACAGAGACCGGCCCTTTGCTTGTTTTCACCACACATTCCTGCGAACCCATAAAATACACCAAACAAAAGAGGATAAAAATCAAAACCCATCAACAAAAACATTAAAATTAGAGAGAGAAATGCAGAAATGGAAAAATATTATTGCTTTCTTGGTGGGTTTTGTGTTTGATTCCTTGCTTTTTGCTTTGCTTACCTTCCCTCCTAAAGGTATCATATCAATGTCAATGGAGACCGAGTCGCTCGAATCGCCCATGACTCAGTTACCAGCTTCTGATTCTGCTTTCTTCAACACCAGAACGATGGAAAATAAAAAAAAATGCTTTTTTTCCGCAGCTGCTTCTTCTGCTGCTGCTTCTTCTTCTTCTTCTTTCTCTCTATGTTTTATTTCTGAATTATGAAATTACCCTCCAAGCAGTAAGTTTCCTATTTTGCCGTAATGACGACTTTCGCCTCCGGTCATGATTTTGATTGGAGAAACTTTATTTCAATCCATATTTGTTTACTATCAAGTACGAAATAAAACTAAAATTTATCAGTAAATTTGTATCTAACTTAAATTTTATATGAATTTCTTTTAACTTCTCGTATAGTTATCATCAAGTATAAGATAAGATTAACAATACAAATAGAATTCATCCATAATCCCACATCCAATGGAGTGTAGTAGGTTCTTGAAAAAGGAAACGGCTTGTTTGACATGATCACGCAAGGTAACCTGGAATTTTATCAAGAGCGTCATTGTAAGGGGCAAAAGCAAGTGTTTTGGTATTGTCATCCTCCTATAAACTAAAATAGTATATTTATATAAATTTATAGATAAATTTACATATTGAATTAAGTTTTCTGATGGTAATTTAATGATTAAATTTGTGTTGGACGTGGTGTTAAGTTTTAGGTTGTGCAAGTGACCGTTGGAATGTCAGGGGCTATTACGTAATTTCCCTGGAAGCATATTACAGCTATCTGACACCTGGACGCCGCAGGAAATGAATAATCCTGACTAGTCTACAACGCGCGCCAGCTCACGACCGGGCCCATGCTTAGTTGCCTCCTTTCCCCTTTTTTTTTCTTTTTCCACTTTTGATTTTTATTGATTTTGTATATGGATAAAGCTACCAATCTTTGCGGCCATGTTTTGCTTTGTTTAATATTCTGTAGCAATAATCTATAGAATAAACTAATGTTTTCATCGAGTGGAACGTTCCTTTTAAAATGATTGAAAATGTTTTTGTTTAATATTTTTTAAACTCTAAAATCATTTAAAGTGTTTTAAATTATTTTAAAAACACTTTCAAATGAGCTTTTAATTGAAATATAATCTCTATTTTAACAGTCGAGATCACTTATATAATTTAACGTGATCACGTGTCTTGCCCTCACAAAACATCGTTCTCAGTTGATAGTATCAGGCAGTCAAATCAAGTGTATTATATAACGGCTCTCACAAAACACTCAATAATATTTTGGTGATCCCACCCGACTTAATTCGACCTTATTTTTATGAGTTGTTGCACTTATGGCAACTACATCAGAGATTTGCTCGAAGTTAATATGGTTGAACGGAGCAATATATACTTGTAATGAGTTTGACTTATTATAACATATCATACAAACGTAAGATTTGTTGTGGATATATGTTTCTAATGTATCAAACAAAGTTTTAAGTACTATTACGTCGTTTATACAAAAAAATATTATTGATTTATAGGGTCGGTCCATGATTGATTCCATACATATTATTTGGTGTAATTTTATAAGAGCAAATGCATACAAAAAAAAAAAAAGGATTTAATAAAGTATGCCTTCTTGTGCTGTACATCATTGCATGAACTTTTTTTTTTTTTTTTATAAGAATCTAAGGTGGGATGGAAACTGATCCAGATCTCACACTACGGAGTTCAGGGACTCAACAATTCGCAGGTTCAAGAGAGATAATGGGCGTTGGTGGTAAATTGTTTGTAAGGTTGGGATAAGCTGATAGGGATCGTTGAATTTAAATTGAAAGGTCTGAATTGTTCGGTTCATAGGTTCTGAAGTGTAAGATTCGAAGAGTATCACAATATGTGAGATGAGAGGAGGAGCATGTCACATGATCACATGATTGATGGGTAACTCGGGACCCCATTAGACGTTAATCACGGCCAACCTTCACTAACAATTAAACTGAACTTTTTGACCTGAAATTCTGAAAAGTTCAAGACTTTGGTATGGAACCTCTTATTGTTATGTTATTTATCACGCATGTGGTGTTGTAAAGAATTTATAGCTTGTCTGGGATTCGTATATGTAGAAGGTCCTTGTGTTCACAATCTGTTATTGAATTTTTGTCATATGTTGTTGGAAACGTTTTTAATTGTCATAAAGTATTACTGCTTTCTAGAAATTTAGATAAGTACGACATCGACGACTATTAACTGTTGATTCATTGCATAATTTATATATATATATATATATATATATATATATTAACTGCTGTTATTCACTCACGCATGCTGATACCGACAATGTTCCTAACATCTCTCCCAAAGCTTAAGACTTAGGAACCTCTCGTTGTTACAAGGTAAAAAGAGTGTTCTATAATTGAAAACATGTGCTTCTATGTCTACATCTCTCATTATAAAACTTGTAAACCTGACGACAGATGTTAGCATATCGGCGTGTATTTAAAATTAACATTATTATCACATAATACTGTGATATAATGGTGTTCCTCTTCAATTGTAAATAAGAGATTTTATGTTCGATTCTCGTCAAAAACAAATTTGAATCGAGTTAATATGGCTAGCCCATTATTAAGCTTTACCGCAATGTCGAAATACAATATACATTTGCATCCTAGACTCCTAGTGCATATTCGACCACACCAATCTTCTTCTCTTCAACAATTAACAATTTAATCATCTGACGTTATTATTTGTAACAAAAACTAACATTATTGCTAATAAATCTGATCAGACGGGAGTGATTGAATTTTGTATTAATCCGCTGAAATCAAGTCAAGTTATTTAATAAAAAAATCCAAGTTAAGCAAATACACGCGCATGGCAGTGTAAGGGACATCACACTCACGCGAATTTGTCGGCAAGGTAGACAACGCGCCGGTGGACTATGAATGCACATGCGTTTTTTTTTAAATTATATATATATATTTTTTTTTCTTTTGAGTTATATTTTGGACATTATCAATAATTGAGTGGGTGCGGAAATTCGGTGGCAAACAGTCGAAAAGCTGTTGCTTTCTTAATCCTGCTAGAGAATGCTCTGGCAGTTTGGCAAGACAATCATGTCCCTTTCCCTCTTTTGTTTTCTTATTATTTCGGATATTTTTTTTTTTTTACTCTTTTCTTGGTAATTAAGGGTTATGAGTTTGTGAATATTTTACAGTGTTTCGGAATATTTTATACTCTGATTGAGTTTCATGTAAATATGTTATGTGAGAAAATCTTTGATTCAAATCAGGTTCATGCTCATCACTCGGATTTAGGGCTAGGGTGAGCAACCCCAAGTCGAACCAATCTTTGAGGTTTGCTTTCGGGTTTGCTTTTACATGAAGTATTTCAGCTCGGAAGTGCTTTTGTGCTTGGGCGAGCAACCCCAAGTCGAACCAATCTTTAAGGTTTGCTTTTACATGAAGTATTTCAGCTAGGAAGTGCTTTTGTGCTTTTATTAGGGTTTAAGGTTTAGGAGTTTTATGGAAAAGAACTCAAAGGTGTTTTTTTTTTAATTTTATTTATAACAAACGATATTATCTACACTAAGGAGAATGGGGTAGACTTAGTCTCACAATGGGCTAGCAATAATGTGGTTCAAATTCGTCTTTGGTAAGAATCGAACCTAAGACCTCTTCTTTACAAATGAAGAAGAATACTACTAGATCGTAGTATTAAATAACAACTCAAAAGTGTTTTTAGAATTTAGAGAAAAAAATTCGGGTCCAAATTGAACCAGCCCTGAGAACAGTTTTGGCATGCTCTTACAAAGAAATTATTCACTTGATCAAGATGCACAACGAGAATCTCACTAATACAATCTATAAGTCAGAAACATTTATAGTTATCTCTATCAAACGCTAACCAAACATTTTAATTATCTGGAAGCATTTTTAAGTAGCAAAACTAACCCAACTAAAGAGATTAGACGTTGATGCGACCATATATAAAACTACTAGTCTTGCAAACTTGGGCGTAGACAAATTGGCTATGAACGGTGCCTGCAAAAGTCCAAATCTCCGTCTGTGTAGTTTAGATTAAAATACAAGTCGACATAAACATTCAAGTATTCAACTTTTTCTAAGTGGACCATCGCATTGCCAACAAAACCCTAATTTCTTTGTACTTAGGTTAGGTACATACACCAAATATTTAAACTCCTTCACCTAATGCAGTTAAAACCACAAGGAAATCAGCACAAGGAGAACCTTGATCAATTAGGGCCACCTGCGTTCATTTAAAACTTTAACCAGCAAATACTTCAACTCAACATTTTTCTCCAGGCAATGCGAACCTTGATCAACATTTTTCTCAAGGAGAACCTTGATCAATTAGGGCCACTTGGAATAAATACATTCATCATATGTTTTGAATATCTTGACCAACTGCGAATTTTCCGCAAGCTAATGTCTGAAGGAACAGAACCAGGCCTGGTTCGAGTGTGCTAAGAACACGCCCAAGATCAGAAAATATATCCCGGAAATAGCTTAATTCCATCGCTAACCCTAAACCACAGCTAAGGTTCAACCTGCGCGACCTGCGCGAATATTTGTGGCCGGGTTCATGCCTATGACAGATTCGCAGCTGCAACATTCAACTAATGACATGAACTACAAGGTTCAACAAGTGTGAAGGGCCGAGGGGCCTTCTCCAACATGAACAAATCACTCTTTGAATGCTATGTAAGGAGATGAGGAAGAATTCATGCACCAAAAACCAAAGGAAAAGAGAGAGGAGATTTCACAAACTCAGTGGAAACTGTACATTTGATGTTTGAGCTCCAATGCAACGAAGCATAATGTGTTCCATAGGCTGGCTGGACCGGTGAATCTACGGAGAAATACTGTTGTAGGCTTGTAGCCAACCTCTGGCTGTGGAACAAAACATTTCAAGGCTCCAAGAAATAGACCAGTTGTGGGTTGTCCCTTTTATTTGATCAACCACAAACTGATGCCTAGCACTTTACTTTACATCAGACTTTTCAGTTTTCATCCCAAATATAATCCAGAAAGGAGTTGGGCAGGGTACTTCGGTCATGCTCCTATCCCTTCGTGTTCTTTCGAATATGTACATCTTTACCTTCTACATCGTTCTATCCACCTTATAGCTAGCAACTGTACAACTTTCCAAACCAAAGATTCTTGTTGCTTCTCTGTTTCCTTCTAGAGAATGTGAGATCTCGACTCTTTGAACCGTTCTAAGAGAGAAGCTTTCCTAGCATAAGCTACCCGAAAGCTATATTCGGGACCTTGACAAGCAAAAGCAGTAGACCTCCATCAATTACTTAATCTCACTCAAAAGCCTCAATAGCATCAGTTGCATAGTTATACAAACATCATTCAAGTACCATAGTACTTCACGCTTGCATTTTATCTTAGTCTAGCTATTATACAGTGATGATCAACATCTAAATGCAAGAATGTAAATAAAATGTACAAATTTCTGGGTCTGAACCGCTTCATACTTGTCTAAGTATTCATACAACAACACCCACAACACAATCAGCAGCAAAGAATGGTCCCTAATACAAGTGGAGTTAGGCCAATTCAAAGAACTGTAATATAAAAGAAATTAGATTTATGGCTATTTAACAAGAAGAATAGGATGTGGCCTAGTCCGTTAGGCGTTGGCATTCCAACTTTGGAAAAGAACATCACTACAGCTACTGCAAACATGGTCAAATAAGAAGCTTAACGATTTGCTGAGTAAAAGTGAATTAATTTCAACATTTGCACATTGATGATTTTGACATAGAATTCTCAGTAGGCAAAAGCAAAAAAAATTAGGATGAAATTAACGCTGTATGGAGGATATACAACCAGTATAAACAAAATTGTCTCTGATCTATTTGGATTGCTCAAGCTACTCATGAAGATAAACCAAAAAGAGAAAAATAGGTTGAGAAAAAACAAATGATTATATAACAAATGATCATATCATATATAATCATCTTTTTGCGGTAATTCAATCACATAGCTGAGAAAATCATCACTCACTAGAGGTTTTCTGTTAGCAATCAATGGAGAACTTCTTCTGACTTCCTCTATTCATTCTTCCAAGCATACAAAATCAGCGAGAATCCTAGACCTTGTGACTTACTATCTGAGAATCTCTGTGAAAATGACCACTGCAACGAGCTTGGATCGGAGGCTGGTTGACTAGCCCACAGCTTCTCAGCTGAGAGGCATGTCTTGAACATAAAAACAGCATTTCCAGGTGATGTACCAAAGAGCCAATTGTGAACATCCCAGAAAACTTCAACGGCAAGCCCATCAACCAAGATGGTATGGTTCCCTCGGAACTTCCACCGAAGTCTCTTCACCTGCATCACAGGCTTGCTGTCAACGCGCACCAGGAGGCATGGATCATTGACCCCGACAGTGTCACACTCAATTACAAGATCATGAACTTGACCATCATTGCAAAACTGAGCCTTTGTAGCGAAGCCCCTCTTACCAAAAATATGCTCTCTCTTAGCAACGCAAACGGCACTTGAAGGCACAGGGGTGACACTCGTTTTTTTGAAAGCTTCTTTTCTCATGTCTCCAAGAAGGAGAAGCATTTGCCTGTCCACCACAACTCCCACATAATATCCCTCCAAAGGTTCAGGGCCGGATCCAAATTTTGCAGATGAAAGGTCCCAATATATATCGATTTTACTCGAATAAGCTTCTAAACTCTTGGACCCTCTTCTCTTGGAGAACAACCAGGGTTTAATATCAACCTTACAAAGACACTGACTTGATGAATCATCTATCCCAACACTAAGGCCTTGACCCATCAAATTCCTACTCCAAGTCACAGTAATCAAGCACGACCGGCCTCGTAACCGGCATTGATACACACAAGTAACCAAATTCTGGGCAGTCCTACTACTATTTGATGATGAAGAATCAGCAACCTGAACCCCATTTTCACCAAAACAAGATGGGAAATCTCTCATTTTTCAAACCAAGTACCTCAATTCACTTTTCCAAACTTTCTTTGGGGAATTTAAACAAACAATTGCTGACCTTACACAAAAAACAAAACAAAATCCACAGAACCACTCAGAAATGATTAAAAAAAAACAGCAAGAAGATAAGCAGAACAACAAGAAGCAGCAGAGAAATTACCTCAAATTGATCAGAGACAAAAACCCAACTCAGAAATGCTTCAAAATCTGATTATCCAGCCTTGATTTGATCTGGGTTGCTGGCTCTTGATGCATTACTGCACAAAACCCATCAATCTAAAACTCAAAGGAACCAGCTTTGAAAACGTGGGCTGTAAAATAAAATCCCAGAGAGAGAGAAGCAGAAGACAAAAAAGCAAACGTGTTTCACTATAAACAGGAAGACCTCCGCAGAAACAAGTAACACTATTTATAAATAAAAATTAAACCTTTACCTCAAAGAAACAAATTAAAAATTACCCACTACAGAGAATATGAAAAAAAAACAGTAAAGCTGATGCACAGAGAGGAGAGAGAGTGAGAAATGTTAGAAAAATATATACCTCAAAGATGTTGACAGCTGCTTGTGTAATCTAATGAAGGTTAAGCAAAAAGAAGGTTATATAGCAACTGGGTTATGCTGGAAAGGTTGGTTTTTGAAAGAATACACACACTCTCTCTCTCTCTCTCTCTCTCTACTCCATCACGCTTTCTCTCTCTAGACGTTTGCCTTAGCTGACATGCTCACATGAAACATAGAGAGAGAAGCAGAAGCCCCAAAAACTGAAACCCAATTGGGAATTTTTCTCAGAGCTTTTGGGAAGAGACAGATTTACAAATTTGTTTGGTGATGCATGTTGCAGGAGCTTTCAGAGGTGGGATTTTAAAACCTCCACTTTCATGGAAATTAAGGCATAAAAAAAGGGAGAAAGAAAAGAAAGAAAAAATAAAGCTTTATCTTTTGCGCTCTAATTTTTGCATGTTATTTAAAGGGGGAGAAGAATGAGAGAGTAAAACAACAGCTTTGGAGGAAGAGGGCCCCACTCACCTGCCTTGTGAAGTGCAAGCACGATTATGTCTCATATTAATTGGTTTTTAAGGAACAATAATTACAAGCATTCACAGAGCTTTTAAAAATAATGCTTCTGGGCTTGTGTTGTTCGATGCATTTATGTTCATATGCGTTTCTACATTGGTTCACATTGGTTGCTAAGAAACAGTTGAAATTCCTATTAAACTTCAAGAGTTTTTTTTGGAAAAGCACCTCAACCTGTCGAAATGCACTTCTCTGTGAAACAATTACGTGACCAATAGACAGTTTTAATGTCGTTTTGTCAAACGTTATTAGAAGAATTTCTGAATGTCGATAAACATTTAACCATTTTAAAAGCAATCTAAAACATACATGTTTAATTATCAATTTGATTAAAAATCATTTACTTATATGTTCGTATTAAATGAATTTACGGTTTTTTTCCTTGTCATTTATGTTCTTTGACGCATAAATCGCAATGTATTTATTTTCTTTTTTGTCAAAATAGTAGACTTACCATCAAAACCTTCCTTGCACAAACCTGGAATGCTGCCCACCTGCTGCACAGCCTGCACTATACTCCTTCGCTCCCGGCCATCCGCAAATAGCATGTAAAATTCCTCGCTACCCATTCATATGAGAGATTTTTTAGTGTATCAAAATCACGATTTAATAAGTTAACTATCATAATATAAGTGATTAAATACTTATAAAGTTTCCAATCGTGCACTTAGTGTAACATTTTTTTGGGACACTGAAATGTTTTTCCATCCATAGCCCAACCTCCGCCTTCATCGTTTTCCAACACCACATGACTAAACTCACACGTAAAAAAGATATGAGTTTCAGTCTCATCATCCAAGCCACATATACCACAAACATTCTCGACATTCATGTGTCAGACGTCGCAAATTATGATGCAACGCTAGGGAGCTATTACAAACAAGTTCACTCAAATTTTGCCGTCGCAAGGGTTGATCTTCAAAAGATTATTTAATTTGATTGAAAATCGTTTAGTCATCTGTAAATTTAGTGCAGTCGCTGTACAAGAATGACCCTTGACCTCGGTCGGTTGGACACTATTTTAAGGACTACCCTTTGTCCTTGTCACTGATTAATAATTGATAACCCATTATCTCTTTCTCTCTCTAGAAATCCTCATCCTTTATCTCTCTAAAAATCTTCAGCCTTTCTCTCTCCCAAAATGCTTAGGATCTCAACATCTGTATGAGTTGGTATTGTGGGAGGGATTTGATTCTGAAAAAGGGTTGTTGGACAAGTGTTTTAGGCAACCTGGCACAAGGAAACACTTAAAAATTAAATCTCTTGCTTTGCAAATAATATTTAATTAAAGAGTAATGATATTCATACCATATTTTTATATTATATTTTTATACCATTTTAAGTAGCATTTGATGCGGACAACCATATTATTTGAAAAATTTGCAAAACCCAAGGAAATGAAGGAGAAAGACATCTCATATACCACAATTATCATTTAATTAACTAATTTTTCTTAATTTTAACAAAAAAAAAACTATTTTTTCTTAATTATTAGTTTATTAAATAATGAACTAAATTTAAAAGTTTGATTAATTCAAATGAAGTGGTTGTCCATATTAAATGCCACCTAAGGTGGTATGAAAATGTAATACAAAAATACGGTATGAATAGCATTATGGATTAAATAATTCCAAAGGGGAGGGGCTCATTTCTCAAAGCAAATATCACCTAGTGAGTTACACGCGCTAGATTTAAAATAAAAAAAAATCAATAGCTTCCTTGATGAAAAAGAATTCAACGAGAACAGCTCTAAAGGACGTGTGAAAAAACACAGCTTCGGTATTTTTCAATCGTTATATCAATTCTTAAGTGACATAATGTGGATTGACATCAAATGTAGTTGCTATTTGACGGCAATTTCAAATCTATTTTTTGTGATTAATAAATATGTTTTTTATCATTTTTTTATTATCTTTTGTTCTAAAAATACTTCCTACAAATAAAAGAAAAACAAATATACATTATTTAATAATTAAAATTTAACATATTGGGTTGATATTAAAATTTAAAAAAAAAAATCAATATGCCACAACAGCCTTCAAATTTAAAATTTATGCTTAAAATTTGACCTTTTTTTTATTAAAATATAAAAATTTAAAATATATAATTAGATTTTTAAAATGCAATAACAATTTTATGTATTATTACTAAGCTTAAATATGAGCTGCGAAAGTGCATACCACGTGCTCGGCTCTGCTCGTGGGGGAATATGGACAGCTAAAATTATGAGGAAGATTTGTCAATACGTACTTTATGGGGATATATAAAGACGTGGTCTTCACGTGTACTTGTCCATGGTTTTGTTAAATCAACCCCAAATTATTTGATTATCTTGTTCGTTGCTCCTGTACTTATTGGGCCTTACCAAGCCCAATTCAGATTTTTTATGTTTTCAAATTTTTTTTTCTTATTCAAGCGATAATTTGCACTAATTTATAAAAAAACACACTATTTTAGTCAACTTGCTAGACTTTGATATACTTTATTCCTCTTAAAATTTTATGTGAAGATTTTCTTTTTTTGGGGGTTAACTTTATAAGGATGGATAGGGAAGAGATTTTCTAGTGTGTCCAGATTAATGATACATACCACATACATCTTATGTCATTATATGAGTGGAGGGGCACTTGAAAAAAAAAAAAAATTCCTCCACTTATAATAACAACATATAACATGCCGCCTTATATTCTGGGTACATTAAAAAATCTCTCTGGAAAGGGAAATTGTTAATTAGGGCAAAATAAGCATGGCCTTGGGGTAGGACCGTAGGAGTTGATTGAGGAGGGTGCATGGATATGTGGGGTTTACAAGATATTGTACTTAAAAAAAAAAAAAAAAAAAAAAAAAGAGGGATAAGGGATAAGAGACAAGCAAGCCATAAAAGTTTTGGAGAAAAGCAACCCATGCAAGATTATCACCCATTTTTGTTGTTGTTGGGATTAGTCTTTTGGTCTGCCTCTTTAATCCTATTTGGAAAATATACTAATAAGAGTCCTTTTCTTTTTTGTATAACGATATTGGAGTAAGGATTCGATTAAACCACACAATAGTTATCGACTAATAATAATATCGTATTGAAATCGCTATTTATGTGAGTTGAACTAAGACCTCTCATCAGTGCAAAATAATACAACTTGATTGTAATGACAATAGACACTAAGGCCTCGTTTGAAAACTCGTATAAGGAGTATGATTCTCTCATCTCCTAATCTCCATCATATTCATTTTATGTTGACTTTTTTTTTTTTTAAATGGTTACAATTAAGTCATGTTAACATTTTTTATAAAGAAAAAAACAAGAAAATTAGAAGATGAGATAACCCTACTCCGATACATGTCCACGTGCCAAGTTCGAATCAAGTCTATTTGTACCAAAAGAAAAGCTAGGACTAGTTGTACACTAAAAAGCTAGGATTAGCAGTCCCAAATAAGAAGGGACACACTATCATCTCCATGTGGTCACCACTTTGAATTACATAACCACGTGACAAATAATATTCCTACCTTCCACAATACTTTATCAAACAATACGATAATACTTTAACAAACTATAAAATTACAAGTCCGTAAATTACTTTGATAGTTAGGGTTTTTCTTTTTAATTATTGCGTCTTGGATTCAATCATTGTGATTTAGTATTATGGACTAATAGTATTATTCTTTAATTGTAAGTTTGTAAGTGAGAGATCTTAAGTTTGATTTCACCAAAGGCGAATTTGAACCACATTATTGCTAACTCATTGTGAGGCTTAGCCCACTCCTCCATCCCTTATTGTATAATATCATTTGTTCAAAATAAAAATCCTAGTTTTTTGTTTTTGTTGGATTAAAACATACAATAATTCCTAGTATATACATCGTGCGTTGATAATTGGAGAAATTTTTTAATTTGTAGAAAACATGGTATTATGATATTTAATATACTGGGTCATATTTCCGGCACACTAAAAAATCTTTCTTATAATTGGACCAGCATAGGAGTACTCTTTGGACAAGATCAACAATAATACTGAATCTTCATGATCTTAACATTATTAAAAGTGATATTTATGATTTTTATCCTATAATTAAACACTATGTGTAAGCCCCTCCTTGGTCCTATTTTATTAATAGATCGAACCTTGTATATCTAACCAATGCTAGGGACCACTTCAAAAAAGCATATCAAAATATGGTTTTGCATAATCTTGGATCATGGATCCATCATTAAGTTACACATAAGAAATGGTTGCGTGGGTAAGTGAGTCGAAAAATAACATAACTTACGAAAAATACAATTTGAATTAGGTTAAAAAGGCGGACATACTGTTTTAATTAACTGACCTTACCCATTTGTCAAAGCATTGTAGTTAAAAGTGACATGAGATCTTCGCATGCAAAGAAAGAAAAAGAACCCATTAACTTGGGTAGAATAAGGTGGTGGGAGATTCATGAGATGGAAAAAGTAAAAAGCTCAAAGCTGTAAAAAAATGCAATGAAGGGTAAGTGGGTCTTTCTGTGGTATGAACTTTTGATTTCGTAGAAGTGCTTTTTGTACAAGTGCTTGTATCAATCATTCCGTTGATCTTTTATACCCATTCCTTCTGAAGTTGCGATCGTGTAAAGTCAAAAGGGTTAAATTCCAACATAAGATTGTTGAACTTTTTTGTGTAATTATATAAATCGTCAACAATAAGAAAAGTTTTCTTGAGTTTTCTTGAGTGAACAATAAGAAAAGTTTTCTTGAGTCCACTTCCTCATGGTCTACAAGAAAAGAATCCATTTTTCCATTAAATTACGTGAGTTAGGAATATGCACCAAATTTTTAGAAAAAAATCGAACTTTGAACTTATTCTAATCCTAACTCTTTACAACATAACATGAGAACAACAATACAATTTCATTAACTGTCTTTTCTTCTCTTACAATGTACTATTTATACTAATACTCAACTCTAACTGTTACTACAAGATGATACCATCTAGCATCCTAACACCCTTCTTCTCCCACTTGAGCTCACTTGAAAGGCTTTTCATCGGCCTGTCTATGTCATGTCATAATATTCATAACTATTTGATAGGTTTTTTCACATGTGAACTGTTGAAACCTCTACTTATAAGCTTTTGCAAGATTTTTCCTTTCATCAACGTGAGACTCTCTCCTTCACATTCTTACACAAACGATCAGTAGAGTTTAACCAAATTTAGATCATTTCTGGAAAAAAAAAATTTCTGACTTTGATGTGATTGAGCAGCAGATTTATCCACCTAGTTCTTACATTCCAATGAGCTTTGGAAGACTTGCTGGGGAATTTCTGTGGTTTTAGGGCTGACTGCATGTGTATTCATCTTCATTTACGTATTTGTACGTGTTTAATCATACTGAATGTATGATTGCGTGAACGTTTATCTATACAGTTGAAGCAAAATTTTACTTGTTCTTTTAAAGGAGAAAGGATCCTCGCCGGATTCTCTTTGTGAGGATTATGAGGATCCTCTAATCACATTCGTTTATCATACATCGTGCGATCAATTTTTGTCAGGTAATGTTTATATTCAATTTTAAATAAAAAAATTTACAATGATTTTTTATCACACAAAGTATGATGGACAGATGTGATTGGAGGATCCGGCTATGATCTTCCTGGCTTTTAAAGGAACATATCATATTCGGATCCCATGGACGTCCCTACCATCACTCACCACCACCTCCACTCCCACCCCAATTCCGACTGTATATTTCTCCAACCTCCAACCCCTCCTATTTTCTTCATCTTCTTTCTTTCTCTGTGGTTTTGGTTCATCGATGTTGTCGGAGACGAAGGCAACGATGTTGAGGACCGAGAGAAAGATTGAGAAAGTTAACGAACAGAGTGATCTCAGCTACACAATTTACGTGAACGGTTAAGATTATTTGATCCACATGATCCAGATGGTTCAGATCCGAAGAGAATCCCGTTCCTTCTTTTAAGTGCAAATTTTACAATTATATTATTTCTAAACAGGGATACATGCATCCCTTCCAAAGTAAAATACAAGTTACCTACATTACAAGTAACATTGAAATACAAGGATACACTGTATTCTTCTTGGCAACTTAAGGGGAAGGAAATTTTCATGCTATCTCAATACAATACATGAAATAAATAAAATTATGCAGGAACGCGATAATATCTTATCTCTATTGTATTTTGGCGTTGCATAATACTAAGGTTTCACATCGGAAAATTGACAAAATTATCGAAGACTTATATTGCATGGTTTCACTTCTAATTACACCGACATCTTATGTGATAAAATCTTCACACTTGTTGTGTTGTGCATATGATAAGTTACAATTGCAAATTGAAAACAATACCGATGTGGTTAATTGTGGGATGTTGGCCCGTCTGTTTGGTATCTTGATATTCGGTTTAGTGGAATTTTTTCCACTTGTTTTTCAGTATAATATTAGTTACGTACATTACAACTTTTTAGACCAAATAAATTATATAATGTGATTATTGATGATTAAATTATTTTTTAAGTATTGATTAACGCGTTTATTTTTTTATTGATAACTTTATTTTACAAATTCCGCCCTGCTGCGGAATTTCGCTTCGACCCATCCTACGGCCACACACAACAGGAGAAAACAAAACCCACTTGATCCGCCGTCCAATATTAGGACTCACAATTTCGGGCGAGAAAATTCCCCAAAATTTCCCTTCCACCTTCTCGAAGGCCAAACAGAACAATAGAAACCGTAAGCGATGGGGAAAGCTGAGCAGAAAATTGAGAAATTCACAGGACGCCGAGTTCTCTCCTCCTACTTGGGACGATCCCGCGCTCAACGATTCTCGCCCCATGGATAATCAAGGCCCCTCTCTCTCTCTCTCTCTCTACACACACACACACACACACGCACACACACACACACACGTTTGGCTGCTGAGAAATGATAAATTGGTAAAAAGTTTGGATCTTTATCCAGTTCTGCGTACTGGGTTGTTGAATTTCCTATCTTTCTGGGTTTATAGCACTATATGCATGACGATGGGCATATTCTTTCGATTACAGTTGGTTTAGCCATTGGGTTTCAATTAGGATGTGTATTCAGTAAACTTTATTATTAACAATGTGACTTAATACAAGTAATTATTTGGTATTTTCAATTACTTATAGTAGCGATACCGGTTTTAACATCAAGTTGGAAAATTTCACTCGGTAGAGGTCGGTAAGGTTGAAAGGATTAGAAATAAGTTGTGAGTTGAGTGCATTTTGGTTGTTCATGGAACCTCGGACATTTGAGGCATGCCGTATTTTCTTTTGTTTCGTAAAGATTGAAGATTTTTTCGCGGTTTGTTGTCGCTCTAATATCGTTAACAAGATTGTTTAACGCCACAGAGTTGGATGGGCAACTACTTGTGTATGTGATTTTGTGGCTATGTTTTTCGTAAGAATATATATATATACACACACACACACACACACACACATGTTTACTCAAAATTTGTTGTTGATGACAGCGTTATCATGCTTATGTTTACTCAAAATTTGTTGTTGATCGACAGCGTTATCATGCTTCCTTTATGGAGGAGGTGCACTCATGGATGATTATATCTGCGGGTGACTTTCTGATACTTATCATTAGTATAGTTAAGTTCTTAACCTACTTAGAATATATCTTCTTGTTGGTTCTTTCGAAAGTCCGTACATGAGATGTTGGTTCTTTCAAAAGTCTGTATGTGAGATGTACCTGTTTGGACTAGTGTCGTATATGTATGTTACTTACTGTATAATCATTGGATTTTAAACTTTATCCGTAATTGTTCGCTATTGAGGGAAGTAAGCTTAGCATGATGTGTCTTCTTGGGAAGTAAGCTTAAGCATGATGTGTCTTCTTGGATGGCCGTCTTTACCATTATTTTGAGATGAGATAATTAAGTAACTAAATCTTAACAGATTGGGCAGCTGTTGTAGCATGTTCATCAGCAGTCATAGGATTACTTCATGATTCAAAGTATCACCGGTGACGGATTTGATACTCACTCTTTACTGGCATCGTACTCACGGTTTCTGGTTGTATCACATGTTGAGGTATGTTTACTTCTCAAACTCACACATTCTAACATGAGTTAGTTATCTTTTAATTTCTATAACCTGTATTTTGAATTTTTTTTCTTTATTACAAAACCAGTCTTGTACAAGAATATTCACAACTTGGAAACTTAAAAACGAAATTAATGTAAAACATTAAAAGACCTCCTTTCCCTATATATATATGCGTGCGTGTATATCCTTCATTCATTCCCTGAGATAGTGGCCCTACATTCATTTGACTTGTGCAAAGACGGAACATAAAATGCAATTCAGTGTGAGAAAAAAAAAAAAAAATGCAATTCAATTTTTGTGTTGTAGCATGGGTGCACCTGTGCTTTTATTTTCCGATATGTTCTCATCATCCTTTGTTCTTGAGTTTCTCTCCAGTTGTGAACTGCGCTGTATGTTTAAGGTACAAAATAGTTTTGAAAAATAAATATGATACTTGTGCAGATTGCCAAGGTGGTTCTGCTGGGGTGTAATTTGGCTTCCTTTTGAACCTCTAAGTTATGTTAAAATGCGATTGATGTCCATAAGTTGCCCCTGCACGTTTAAATTTATTCATGAATGCATATCTGGAATTGCAGCGGAGCAAGACTGACTCTGTATGTTGAGCTTTTACATTGACCCGAGATTGTCAAAGATAAAAGAACACAAGGTTCAGCTATATTCGTACAAGCTTGATCCTCAAAACTGTTTCAATCGCATGGAAAAATCCCCGTAGAAATCTAAGGTAATCCCCTTTAATCACATTCTATAAAACTATTTTTGACTAATTTTTTTTTTCTGAACTGCGATTGTGTAGTTCCTCATTGAGTTTGGTTCAAACATCAGCCGTATTGTTAGATTAGTTTAGTTATTCAACTCAATGAAGTTGAATTTGAAAATTAAAGTTGGAGGTTCCGAAAATAATTCATATATCCGATTCCTACTGCTACTGCCTAAATGAATGGAATTTTATGGTCCAGTAGAAGAATGCAAGAAGGTCGGATAAGCAATTAGAACAGTAATACAGGAAAGTGGAACGTTGGCCTCGATGAACAGCTAAGAAGTAGGGATTGTACTGGACCTCATAAAATAGCAAATGCATTCGTCCTCGACTGTCTATGGTTGTAGGAAAAAGGGAAAATAGTGATCATGTTTAGTAAATGCGTGATTTTGGAGTTTTAAGATTACTGATGTGCTTTTTAATGGTGCTTTGGCTGTGTGAATTTGCAGGCTACAAACATTGGGGATCTGCAGGCTAAAAAAAAAAAAAAAAACCCAAAGGAATTGCGTAGAGAGTAATTTTGAACAATATTTCCATGTAAATTCTATTAACACAGACAACTAGAGTGAGGGTGATGAGAGGATGTTAGTAGAGTTACGTTTTGAAGCAAACAATCATTGTTTAATCAACCGGGGGCGAAGGCGTTTTTTCTTCTCCGACTTTTAGCGAGGGTTTTTAATCCGTCGCTTTAAATATATTTAGTAACGGTTAGCGACAAAAATTTTATTGTGGCTAAAGGTCTCGGCTTTTAGCGAGGATTTCTTCGTTGCTTAAAACATCTTTAGCAGCGGTTGTCGGCGAATATTTGGTTGGTAAAGGTCTTTGACGCCTTGGAAACCATAAAATGGTCATTAAATATAGGAAATTCGTCGCAAGATATTCTAATTTGTCGGGGAAAGGTTAAAAATCGTCATTGAAACTCAAAAACTGGATACTTTCTGCTAATTGATTTCTTTTTCCTCCCCTTTTTTAGTAGAAAACCTATTTTCCTTCCCACAAATACTACAAACAGCTTGGTAAACCAAGAACTAAGAATTTTACTTAATATTCTATCAATTATATTTACAGTGAACTTAGAAGATGGTAACTTTTGTAACTTTGGATAATATCATATGAACAAATTAACGTGAGGCAACCTTCTAAATGATTTATCTATTGATGATTATATATCTTTTCAGGATGAGATTTGCGTCCTAATATTATGATTATCAATTTCTCGACTTGTTCGGTTAATGTCGAAATGAGCGATTAATTTGCAGTCAAATCCAGATTACAAATTCAATTTTCACATTGCATCCAATCTTTCTGCAATTAGAAAATGAAATCCCAAAATTTCTTTTGTTTTCTTGGCAGCCATGCTATATCTGCCGTTTTAGTAACTTCTAGTACGTACAAGGGGAAGCATTCTTACTGAATCCCATCATCCAGAACACGATTAAATTACAGAAGTGATTTGTGAGCCTACTAATTTCTTGCTCATCTATATAAGTTGTAGATGAAAACTTTGGAAATCTTTGTGTGCAGAGGAACACCGTCACGTAATGTTATCATGCACATGTTATAACAGGGGTGGACTACGAAAATGATATGTTCTTTTCTAAGGCATATTAATTAGAAAAAAATACAAGTGTTATAATTTAAGTAGAATAATAACACCACATAACCACATGTTCTGAAAAAATAAACTACATGCCACATCAACAAGGGCCTATGGATTGGCCACATGAAGCTTAGCACCCTGTAAATCTGTTTGAGCTTGATTTCTTCAAATAAATTATAAAATCACCATTTCTTTGCCCACATCCATCCATTTTCTGGATCACTTTCAATTTTCCGAGTTATTTTCATTAACAAATTAATTAAAGAAAAAGAAAAGAAGAAAAAACTAATCGTAAAACTTTGATAAACGACAAATGTCAAGATGGTTGCATAACTAATAAGTTATTTCTTGTTAAGACTTTTGGTTCGTACTGAGTTACAATTTGTGTATTTATAAAGACATAATTTTGAAACAAATAAGAAAGTAATCATAATAATCGAAATCCAGCTACGAATTTATATTTCATTGTACTAAGATTTAAATCGTTTTAATCTTATGGTATGAGTAGATTTCAAATGCAATATTAGTATGATCCATCTAGTTCCTTAATCATCCATTCAATTACTACTAATTAAATTCGAGTATATCATCATCTTAGTTGTATGATATTGAATTAAATTGTGTACAAGAAAGATATGGATTTGAAAGCATTTTCTTGTCAGATACAAGACTGATTTGTTAGCATCCACAACAAGATTTCTTACTCAAGTCCATCATTGTCCATGTCACCAACTTTATTGTACTAATCGTGCTCCTTATGACTAATTAACAAACAAATTAAAAAAGTAATTGGCACGTAAGCCAACGAATTTTTGCTCATAATATCTCAAAGTCGTAGCTGATGAGTGTGTAAACTACTAGAAAACAGCTCATAGAGCACAAACTTTATAAGCAAATTCATAATTTTGGACAAGGAAGTCGAAATCGTGCGCTATGATCAGTGGCAATGCCGGATGTATTTTTGTTCACCATCTTTAAGTGCTGGTAATGTTTATCACTCTATTTATTACCATTAAATGAGTTTAAATATTGAAATTTATGTCTATCCATTACACAAATCAAAATTTATAAACTTATTCAAAGGTAATAAATAGGGTGGTAACCATCACTATCACTTGAAGGTGATGAACAAAAATATTCCTGGCAATGCCAGTAAAGGGAACAAACAAGTTAACGGTAGCTGCATCATTGTTAGCACGGATATATGACATAAATTTTGTGTTTTCTGAGTCAAAAGATACCAATATCAAATAATATCCAGAGAAAATAGAAGAAAACTTAGTATAATCTACTTTCTAATAAGGGATTAGTGGAAAAATCATCTATGTTACATGTAAACTTCGTCTACTATATTGACATTAATATATTAACTTTAATGAAACTTAATGTCAACATAGTAGACGAATGTTCATTAAAAGTTGACATCTGAAGAATATGGTTGGTAAAACTTTGAAATCTCATTTGTGCACTTTACTCCATCTATATAAACCAATGTTCTTCAATCCTACCATGCATCTAGAAATGTATCTCAAGGACAAGAGATTCCAAAGATGAAATCCCAAAAGTTCCTTACATTTTTCCTTGCTTCCATGGCTATATCTGCTGCTTTAGTAACCTCAAGTACATTTTCACTCTCTCTCTACCAGATTTTCAGAACGATGCTACAAAACCCTAATTATTTTCTCAACATTTTCGCATGGATTTCACATCGTTTTTCTGAAACATCATGCGAAAAAGTTATGAAAAGAGTTGCATTTATGAAGCGATTTTTTTTTCTTGTATAAAAACGAACAATAAACTAGATAATTAATCAACAGATGAAATTGGTTTTGTGTTTGAATGTATAATATTGCAGAAGTTATAGCAGATGAAGTGAAGGTGCCAAAGGATGATCACTCAGTGCCCCTTGATCCTTATTGCTACGATCTCTGCTCAGACACATTTGGAGATGCCGAGTGTTTTGCAGCGTGCAAGGGCAGACAATTCAGGGACGGGAATTGCATTGTTCAAACGGGGAAGCTACGTTGTTGCTGCAGCCGTTAGGGAGACAGACAGACACAACAATAATACTGGAAAATTGTAATAAAACAATGTAAAGGGAAAGGAGTTGTTAATAATCACATTGGCTTTCTCTTCGTGCTTAATTATTTAATAAATTTCAAAGATAGGGGAAGGGGGGTCGTTCTATTGGAAGTTAGCTTTTTCTAATCGCTCTGTGTAGGAAGGAAGTAGCCCACTTCGTAGTTGATGGCTATTCTTAGGGTCTTGGTTCTTTCTAACCGCTTTGTGCGGATTTAGAGTGTAAAGCTACTATTGTAGTTTGACGGCTAAGTCTTGTGTGTAGTTCGACTCGCCTAATCCATTATCATCCTTGCATTAAAAAAAATTGGACCGTTTAATACCAAATTTTAATTTGTTCCTTGTGACTGAAAGATAATTTATACTAGTAATTAGTAAGGTAATTAACTTCTTGCTCATCTTAATGGAAAGATCCTCTATGCAATCTAGTTCCTAATCTGGTGAATGGATACATTGTATTAGCTTAAACGTAAATTATTTAAATATGTGCAAGAGATTTGTAACTCAAGTGATTAAGATCATTGTTCCTGTAACTGAAATCCTAGGTTCGGTTTCCCCTCTCCCAACCTTGTTGACGGCTAAGATGACAAGAAGCACAATTCGTAAGATATCCTTGTTGCATGCCCAAGTAAATACATTTGTTATAGAGTGCTCTTCATTTTCTCTCTCACTACTAGTTTACTAGCCCTTTTTTTTGGCCCCGATGCTACAAAACCCTACTGTTTTCTTAACTTATTCACATGAACTTCATGTTGTTTTCACAAAACTTTACGTGACACTACGACAGAGTTGAAAAAAGAGTTCCACCGCCAAGCAATTTTATTTTTTCGTATATTAAGACGAACAACTAGCTAACATATTTTGTGTTTTTTTATTTATTGGATATTGCAGGGGTTGTTGTAGATGAAGTGAAGGTGCAAATAATCACTCAGTGCTCCCTTGATCCTTTTAGCTATGAACTTTGCAACTACACTTTTGCAAAACCAAACAATTCAGTGATGGAATTGCATTGTCCAAACCGAGAAGCTACGTTCTTGTTGTAGCTTTTAGATTATAGATGCACAGAAAAATACTTGCTCAGAAAAAACTGTCAATAATGGCCTACCTGCAAGGGCACACTGACTATGCTGACCAATTCATCTGTGTTATCTCAACTCTTATTCATCGTTTTAGATTCACTTTGCATTTATGTGTTTAGAGTCCGCGAATCAAGAGATTTGGGTCGTTTAGAGAGAGAAAGAGATCCATGCTGTTCAAGTTTTTAAATTTTTGTGAATTGAGTTAGTAGACTAATAGAAGTCGTATGATTAAAATTGAGTTATCTAGACCTTTTGATTTGCGGGCACGGGGCACAGAGATCCAAATTGGATCTCAATCCCTTATCCAATATATCTTATTTTCTTTCAATATAATCTAAAGTATACCATTTCAACATTGCAGTTTAATGATGTCTCTAAAAAAGTATCACATTTTATAATGTATTTGAGTAATCTTACTACTCTATTTTACGTGAAAATTAATTAAACTCTTGTACAAAGACATGAATAATTTACTCAAGCTAATTAACCCGACTTACGTCTGTTATGTCAAACGCTGACTCATAAATCATGATACATTCTTTCACTTTCAATATTATCTAAAAGCCTTAGTGGCGCATTTAGGTTACACAGAAAGCAGCGCACTTCTAACGTTACTTTTGCTCGCTTAATTTCTGATGCCTCACCAAATTTAAACAGACAATACAATAAACTTCAAACCCACCACAAAATACCACCTCCAAATACATATTTTATTTCGTTGAAAAAATATGTATATATTATTCTGTAATACAAACAAAATTGTTTTTATTATTACAAAATTAATAGCGCGTTTTTTTTATTTTTTTTTTAAAGAATAGAGTGCTTTGAAAGATAACAATATGTACGATACAAGAACAGTGGAGAGTAACTAACACGTTTTATATTGATATGAATATCCATAAGGACAGTGAAGAGTAACTAACAAGTTTTGTATTATTGATACAGAATATCAATGTAATGGTTTACCCGTGTCTTATAAGTTATTCTCGTTCTACAACTCATATGGTGGGTCCCACATGATATTGTGAGAGTGGAAATTGATATTATTTTTGAAATTCTACATTACCACTTAGCAGAATTTGCACATGAAAGTTGGGTTCGCCAAACTCAGTTACGTGACAAATTCTCACCCTCAGCATCTCCTCCACTCCTGATACCATCTCTCTCTCTCTCTCTCATATGCTTCAGAGCTAGCTAGTTTGATTTCTTTCAATCTCTCTTTCTTTACACAGACCAGTACTCTGCTTAGAGAGAGGGGAGAGAGAGAGAGAGAGGAGAGAGAGGAGAGCTCAATTGAAGTTGTGGGTTTTTAGAAGCTTGAATCCATGGCTTCTTGGGCTCTTTTACCGGCAGCTCCAGTAACTGGTCGCTGTCTGGTGACTCCTGCCAGGACAAAGAGGTCGTCCTCCTTCTGGGTTCGCTCTTCTTTGGACACCAATGTTTCTGACATGAGGGTAAACGGTAAAGTTCTCGTTTTTCTTAAGCTCCAATTTGTCAGTTTTCAATGGTTTTAAAGCTTTTTAGTTGATTTTAATTTCTGGGTTTTCTTTCCGTTGGAGAATTATTGTGATGGGATGATTGTTAATTCAATTGAATTCATGATAAAGTTATTGGCTTTTGATCAAAGTTCAAACTTTTCAAGTTCCAAATTCCATTAATTTATTTTAAGAACTAATTTTTGTGCTGCAATTTGAGGTTAATACTTAACATTACCACGAAAAGTTAGACAGAATATGGTGTTTAGTGATTAAGTGAAGGATTATTTACTGTTTGAGCTACTATTTAATGTATACTGAGATGAATGCTTAATCTTCCAGCTCCAAAAGGGTTGTTTCCACCTGAACCGGAGTTCTACCGCGGTCCGAAGCTGAAGGTGGCCATTATCGGAGCTGGACTCGCGGGCATGTCAACCGCCGTTGAGCTTTTGGATCAAGGCCATGAGGTTTGTTTACTTTGTCCGAATTGTATGTTTCCTTCAGTTTAGAGCTACATTGCTTCAATGTATGAATTGAATTTTTAAAGTTGGGACACTTTGACTGAACTTCTCAGTAAGCTAACTTCATAATTTTCTGTAAGGTTGTTTGATGACTGATTGTCTTTTCCTGGGAAACTTGTTAACATTTGTTGTTTGTAAATTCTGCAGGTGGATATTTATGAATCGAGGCCTTTCATTGGCGGAAAAGTGGGCTCTTTTGTTGATAAAAAAGGAAACCACATTGAAATGGGACTCCATGTTTTCTTTGGTTGCTACAGTAATCTTTTCCGATTAATGAAAAAGGTGAACAACTATTGCTTGGTTGAACTTCTGTTACACTTGAGCAATATTATGTATAATTGCTAATAAGTTTTCTTGGACCACCACTTAAACAGGTGGGTGCAGATGAAAATCTTCTTGTCAAGGATCATACTCACACTTTTGTAAACAAAGGGGGTAACATTGGTGGTATGTCTTGGTGCCTGATCTTGTATTTCACAGTTCATTCCTGAATCACTTATATCCAATGTACATAATCTGTTACTTGATTTTCATCGCAGAACTTGATTTTCGGTTCCCAATTGGAGCACCAATACATGGGATTCTTGCATTTTTGTCTACAAATCAGATTAAGGCACGTTTTGCCATCGCCACTATGACTGACTTTACTGCAAATCATCTTCATTGTCACATCTCATTATTTTGGAAACCAGTATAGAGAATATAGCATTGTGCACCTTGTGTCAGGAAAAACAGTAAAAGAAAAAAAAAAAGACACTTTTTCCATGTTATCATTGAGTTTATTAATCCTAGTGAACCAAATTGTAATGAAGCTTCTTGCTGAGTTAGATTTCCGTTAATGAATTTCCCTTATAACTGTTCAGACTTACGATAAAGCAAGAAATGCAGTGGCTCTTGCCTTAAGTCCGGTTGTAAAGGCTCTTGTTAATCCAGATGGAGCATTGCAGGATGTACGGAATTTGGATAGTGTAAGAATGAAAGCTATTTTTATCTTTTATTTTGGTCTCCATTCACATTGTGTTTTCAGTTGAAACTGGAAATGTTTGGAAGTCTATTACAAGTTATTATTTTCTCACACAATTTTTGTATTTTAAAAATTGAACTTGGCTTTTGCAGATAAGCTTCTCTGATTGGTTCTTGTCCAAAGGTGGCACGCGAATGAGTATCCAGCGGATGTGGGATCCTGTTGCATATGCACTTGGGTTTATTGACTGTGATAATATTAGCGCTCGTTGTATGCTCACTATATTCACATTGTTTGCCACTAAGACCGAGGCTTCCCTTCTACGCATGCTCAAGGGTTCACCAGATGTTTACTTAAGTGGCCCCATCAGAGATTATATCATTGCCAAGGGGGGCAGGTATATCTTTGTGAAAGCTAGAAGAGCTTTACATTGAAACGAAGAGATAACAGTTGTTTGTTTTTCTGTTTCTCCTATATCAGTTGATCTCTTATCAGTTGGAATGTCATTTTCTGCTGTTACAGGTTTCATCTCAGGTGGGGGTGTAGAGAAATACTATATGATAAATCTTCTGATGGCGAAACATATGTTACCGGATTTTCAATGTCTAGGGTAACTTACTTATCATATTGCTTCTTTTAATACGAATGAAATTTAATAAAGATTGATTTCTTTGACAACTGGAACCTTTAATTGTGTTAACCTTAGATGTGTGTAGTGGAACTTGTGCTTCTTTAAGTGTAAATAACTAGTGTGTTCTTTTTATGGTTGTAGGCTACTAACAAGAAAATTGTGACAGCCGATGCTTATGTTGCAGGTTTGTGGTTTACTCTTGCTTCTTTGTTCCTTCCTATTCCGAAAAACTATTTCCAATTTCAGTTGAAAAAGTTTTTCTTTCATATTTGTATGTTAACAGCGTGTGATGTGCCTGGAATCAAGAGACTGCTTCCTTCTCAGTGGAGGGAATGGGATTTTTTCAATAATGTTTATGAGCTAGTTGGAGTCCCTGTTGTTACTGTGCAACTTAGATACGACGGTTGGGTCACAGAGTTACAAGATCTAGAACGGTCAAGGTGATTCTCCCTTACACACTGAAGTACTTAGATGTGAAAAGAAAAACTCTTTTGTGTTAAGGACCTTGTCAGAATCTTAAAAAAAAAAAAAAATTTGCTTCTTCAAGGCTAATGGACAGGGATATTTTTGTTTGATAGGCAATTGAAGCAAGCTTTGGGATTAGATAATCTCCTATATACTCCTGATGCAGATTTCTCTTGCTTTGCCGACCTAGCGCTTACTTCTCCAGAAGATTACTACATTGAGGGACAAGGTTCACTCCTCCAGTAAGGAAAACATACCCATTATTATTCTTATCTTTCGGTTTTACAAATAGAGATACATTAGATTTTAAAACCCTCTTTATTTGGCCTCCTGTAGAATTTGAAACGTTCAAACCGAACCAAGTAGATGTGGTGATTTTTTAATTGCTTGAAATTTCCATCCTAGTGGATCAAAACACACCACACACACACACACACACACACACACACACACACACATTCCGATTAGGTATCAAGTCACTGCATTTCCTATTTGCACTTTTATAATTTTGAACTTAACGCTGATGCTTCTTCATCTTGCAGATGCGTTTTGACACCAGGTGATCCTTACATGCCTTTACCAAACGAAGAAATTATAGCAAGAGTGAAGAAACAGGTAATTAGCTTATAAAGAACACTTTGCATACGTTAAGCAAGTTAAACTGCAGTTAGAAGAAACGAATGAAAACATTATTTATTTTTTTATTTTCGGTCATTGCAAACATCAATCTGAACCTCAAAATTTTCAATTCAAGGTTTTGGCTTTATTCCCATCATCCCAAGGTTTAGAAGTCACTTGGTCATCAGTTGTCAAAATTGGGCAATCTCTCTATCGGGAGGGACCTGGCAAAGATCCGTTTAGACCTGATCAGAAGACACCTGTGAAGAATTTTTTCCTCGCTGGCTCATACACAAAACAGGTAGGTTTGCGCAACTAATTTTTCTGTAGAAGAATGATGAAAGAAAATGCAAATTCTAATTGGCTGTACCTTTTACAGGACTATATCGACAGCATGGAAGGAGCAACTTTGTCTGGCAGGCAAGCCTCTGCATATATATGTGATGCCGGGGAAGAGTTGGTGGGATTGAGAAAGAAGCTTGCAGCCCAAGCTTCTGAGGAATACACAAAAGCTGTTAATACTACTGATGAGCTGAGTCTTGTCTGACACATTGCCTGCCTGCCATTCGTTCGTTAGCACAGGAAAAAAAACCTCCTCAAATCAAAATGTGGTGTCAGCCGGCGAGTTTGACATGAGCTAGCTTTGTTCATTACACATGTTTTACAATGTTCTATATCAACTTATCAAGTATAGAAAGGTCAGTCTCATTTGCGAATCATGCGATGAATGTAAACTTGTTAAGCATGAAATATATTTTCAATCGCACGATTTCTGTAAATAAGTACAAGCCTTGGATCACATGAACTTTTCGGTTATATTAGCATTCATTTGCTACATACAACATTGTCAAACTTTTAACATCGAACAAGAAGCGATGATTTACCTGCTGAAATGCCCCTAACAGACATGGCCCTGCATCACTAGTAGGCATTTTACCCATGCGGACGGCAGTATCAGCAGGCTTGAAAATAGCATCAGAATCGAGCAGCAGACCCGGTCTTTTAGGCTGGCGTTTGTAGCGCTGCATAATATATTGCAGAATTTCTTCTCGCAGAGTTGCATATGCAGTTTGAGCAAGGAAACTGTACGGGGGGCTACCTGTGCCGGTCATAAACCCTCCGCTCGTCATTCCTCGTCCTGAACAGTGCAGGATCTATACTGAGGCGCTTTGGCAACACTAATACCTAACTCTTATAAGACAGAATCTGGGTATTCCGGCAGGCACAAGCTGCGTTGCTTGAAAACTTCCTTTTATCTCCGCATCACTACCAAATTGCAGAAGCGTATGTGTTCCATTTTTTGCAGTCCACCATGGCAGGCAGTAAGAGAAGCGCATGTTAGTTTCGTAAACTAGTTGCCTAGGATGAACGTGAGGATGCGGAACCTTATGTCCGTTCATCGTAGTTTTTGTCAGTTACTGTTCATGTTTAATTTTAAATAAAAGTATTTAAAATGATTTCTGGTTACACGATATACGATGAATGGACACGATTTGAGGATCTTCAAGATCCTCACAAAGAGAATCCTGAAAGGATCCTCATTCCTCTGCCAGTTGTCTTATGTACACGTGTTGTGCAAACATTGGAGCTTAAAAACCCAACCAGCCATTAACCGGTCCAATTTCCTCCAACCCAAATATAACCCGACCCGACCTTTGCAGTTCCCCAACTGTATTAACCGACTTGGTGAAATCTGAACCCGCCAAAACAATGGCGGGAGTAGTGTGTTACGGTTGCACTACAACTGCAACTCCACGGCTTCCTCCGCTCCTGCAGTCGAAGGTAGCACACAGAGACTTCAATTCCTGACCGTTGGTTGCTTTCTGATCCATTTATGACCGTCCATTTTCCAGGGAATCCGCGGCATCCGGTGCTCCTCCGCCGCACCGGATAACAACAGAAACAACAACAGCAACAAGAGAGAAACCCCGCAGGTTTTGAAAATTGCTGTGAGCGGAGTCACTGAGCTGCTCAGGCTCTTCTCCTTCTCCAACAAAGCATCCAGGTATTCTTCCCATTTTACTCTTCTCAGATTCAATCTTATGATATTTTCCGAATTTTCGAGCTTTCGATTTCGTGTGTAGAGTTGATGATTTGGATTAATTCTATGATGTTTTAAATTATCCCTAATTCTACATCTACTTGTCAAAGGTGGTTCCTTTTTAACAATTTTAGATTACCATAACGTGTTGTGTATACTAGTGGTTTTGAGCATACTATATGAAGTTATCAACCCTAAATATTGGTCACTATCATTTGTCCGAAAAAATTTGTTGGTGAAGCCAGCTCTTTGGATTTCTGTTTTTAAATATTGTTAACATGTTGCAGATTGAATGGAGTGAGTGACAAAGAAAGCGAAGAGTTTTCAGTTTCCGGCATTGATGATGTTGTAACGATTCTCAAATCTGATTTCGAGAATGCGTATTTTGTAACAGGTGCCTACTGCACTGTTTGAATGAGACCTTCCTGTGTATGTCTAGGTGTAGATATGAATGATTGTTAACCGAGCGCTACAGCGTTCTAGGATTCATACAGCAAACCCCACTTAGTGAGACAAGCTTTGTTGTTGTCGTTATTGTTGTTATTGTTTTCACTCTTCTACTTTGTGTTTGGTAATAGGGATTTTCACTTCTGCAATTTATACTGAAGATTGTGTCTTTGAAGATCCAACTATTAAATTTCGAGGTAAGAAAATCCTGGCGATTCATTTTGTTTCACTTGTACTTTAGATATACTGCAATACGCAGACATGTAAAAAGATGTCTGCTTATCTTACACTTTGAATTCGATCGCATGCTCAAATTTTCCCCGCTTGTCTCTCACTCCGCTAATTTTCATGGTCTTTGGCTGTTTAGGTAAGGACTTGTATTCTCGCAACTTGAAATTGCTTGTTCCTTTCTTTGACTCTCCGTCAATTGGATTAGAAAAGATCGAGCAGGTAATCATTTTGCAGTGTATCATAGTTGGATTCAGTACTATAGTTCAAGATATATCACCACCACACGAACTATGTTAGCTGACCTATAATGTGCTGTGTAACACTGCTTTATTTGAAGCAAACGCTAAAAAACCAAGCTGATTAGATACTATAAACATGACCATGTACAGGGTATCGATGCTGAAGCAAATTTTGTGCTAGCAACATGGAAGCTCAGGTGCTTAAAACGATCTTGTCGATTTTTCACACCGATTTTCTGTGATAAGTTCTGACCGTATTAGTATGTATTGGGCATATAGGCATAGAAAATATCTTGGCCTTTCATTCAACATATTTTGCTCTTTGTGCCTTTTGATAGCGTGTAAAAAAGTAGAAAGGGAAATATTAGAGTTGGTCCTCACGGTTCCACGTTACCACCCCGTTTCCTGAAATGATTCTCTTTGATTGTGTTGATCCTGCTGTATTCTTTGTAACTCCTAGCTGTGGGTTCAACCTAACTATTTTTATCGGTCTGCAGGACATACCTAAAACTTCCATGGAGGCCTCTCATTTGCATCGATGGAAGTACGGTCTATGACTTAGACGATAAGTTTAAAGTGAGAACAAAAAGCGCTTTCGTATGCTGGATTATTGATCCTTAACATGTGGTAGTTTTGCCAGTCATTAATTTGTGATTTCCACTTTTGGTTTAACAGATTGTAAGGCACGCTGAAAGTTGGAATGTCTCTGCAATTGAGGCAATTGGCCAGCTGTTCACGCCTACCTATGGAAGATCCAATGACTGAACACGGTAAGTCTTCGAACTCCCAACGAGGTTTAAATTAAGATGAATAGGAGTTGCTAATCAGGATCAAGACGGAATGACTAACATTATGTTCACGGATACTGTTGAACTTTCAGTTGTCGACATTCGATTCTGTAGTTCTGAATTGGCAGACACCAACATTGTTTGAAGCCCTATATCTCGGCGAAACTTAATAGTATGATTAGATTCTTAGTCTTTTGATAGTATTAGACCTTACTTTTACTTGGTACATATTGTTTTTGGTATTTCTTTGACTTGTCCCCCAATGGAATGACGTAGGGGGATCCATGTAAACATAGTACCTATTTATGCACTCGAACGGCCCCTATCTTGTTCTGTATGTGGACTTTTGTAGAAGCAGAAGTTTACAGTTGCGTATTATTTACATCAACCGAAATTCTGTCTAGTTTTGTATAGACCTTTCTAATGCTAATATATACTGGATGACATGTGATTTGGTTGCTATTTTATTCCATTTCCGACGCCTTCTGCTGGTTAGCATCGGGCCAAACAATGTGCCGTGAAAACAACATGGCGGACATTTCCCCCCAACTTTGTGCCCGTAACTACTTTAGACAGCTGCAGAGTAAATGAATTAGATCACAATATTTACCAAGAAAAGTTGCTACATTTTGCCAATCTATTTGTTCTCTATGCAGAAAAATGAGATGTCAATATTTTTTAGTGCTTGTGATTATTACAAAGGGGTAGAAGTGTACGTTTGCAATGATGATATAGAATATAGCCATTAGGCATGAACTGTGTAGGGACAGTAAGCTCCTCATGTTCTTGTGCAGAAAGTCCCGACCTTTCTGTTAAAGGCATTAAAAAAGACTTACAAAATTTGTAAAATAAAGAAGGCAATATGCTGGATGTGGGTGTAGCCACTCCAGTCCAAATTATCCTCCCCGCAATTTAGATTATTCAGAGTAAAATATCGCTTGTATCAGATAAAAAAAATGCATACGTACATATACAAAAGGAAAGGAAATTCATTTCAACGCATCCTTTGATTTTATACTCGTGAACACCTTTGTTTATTTCAGGCATGTGAATTGAATGAATCAAAGGAGATTCAAGAGACAAAAATAAATATAAGCGTGCAGAAGGAGAACAAGAGTGCGGATGTCATTTCGCAAAGGAAAAACACAATAAATGTACAATATTAAGGACTTATTTCCAATTTCAAACATGTCCTCATATTGGAATTAATAGATAAAAGTGTCAATCCCTCTTCCAAGCATACAACAACAGAGAAAATCCCCCATTACTACCACACGACCTAGTTGATGATGAACATGAACTCCTACCCCCATCACTACTTTCATCTGCCCATTGCAGCACGCTCGAGCATGATGGCGATGGAGACACCGATGACATTGATGCTGAAGCAGCCGACGTTGACAAGCTCTTCCTCATCAACTTCTTCTCAGGACCTACCATTTCCGGCCACACTCCACCATCGCCAACTTGAAATACAAATACACCATGACCGTTCCCATTACTGCCACCATGATTATTAACCCAATTGAAGACATCCCAATAAAATTCAAATTCTACTCCGCCAATCAAAATCTTCTCATTGCCTCTGAATTTCCAAGCCAACCTTTTGACAACCAGGCTTGTTACTCCATCTACTTTTACTCTAAGTGTTCCCTCACTGCACTCTATTCCGATTTCGTGTTTGGACCCCAAGAACTGAGCTCGGGATATGTAATTCCTCCGCCCGAACACATGTTCCCGCCTTGACAGCAAAGCCGGTTGTCTGAGCTTGTGAGTCAGAAGTAACCCTGATCGCCCAGTCAACTCGTCTGAAAGATCCCCCAGAAAAAATTCAAGCCTTGCATTGCAAGAAATGGCGATGTAGAAGCAAGACTCGGGCTCGGCGGAGTTGTGAGTGAAGTCAGCCCGGGTGAAGTCCCAGTAAAGCTTGATTCTTTTGTGGTGGCTGTGGGTTAGAGAGATGGATTTGGAACCGGGTCTGGTTCGAAAGAACGAGAAGGTTGACGGGTTGAGGGAGATAGTGAGGGAGAAAGAGTCAGAGGCATGGATGGTGAGGGAGTGAGAGAAGAGGGTTTTGGACCAGGTGAGAGTGAGATATATAGGAGAGTTGCAAAGGTGAGTTTGGTATATGCAGGTTATGAGGTTTTGGGGCACTTGAGAGGTGCTTGTGGGTGTGTTGGGCTGGCTGAAACATGCTGGGATCATGGTGTTCCAATTTTCAGTGCTTGTTGCTCAAGCATAAGCACTTGGAGAATTCTGTGGGAAGTTTTAATGTGATGAGAGAGAGAGAGAGAGAGAGAGAGAGAGAGAGAGGTGTGTGAATGGAGTGTTTGGAGGTTTGATTATATATTCTTTTGGTTTTGTATTGATTGGAAGTTTTATATTTGAGGTTTTGTGGAAGAGAGAGAGAGAGAGAGTTGGGAGGCTTAAGGGCTTTGTCCTTGGCTTGTTGATGATGGGTAGTTTGGATTTGAGGCTTTGAAGGCTTAAAAGGCTTAGTCTTTGGTTTGGTGCCGATGGGGAGCTTGGGATTTTGAGGCTTTGCTACGTGCTAGTCGAGTATTTAATAAGAGCTTTTGGCTTTTAGCTTTTGAGTTTTGGCTTTTGGCTTAGAATGTGCTTGTGGCTTTGAATCTTGAATGATGAAAGTCACAAGGTTCCCATCATCACAATCATCAGCACCGGTAGCCAAGCCTTACATTCATGTTATATCCTTAATTTGCGCCTTTGATGGATTTTTAAACTCTCTCCCTCTCTCTCTCTCTCTCTCATGGGCATGGGAATGAGCTGTGTTGCACTAGGGTTTCAGCTGGGTCACAGTTGCAGGTGACTTTGGTTTTATTTTAGTTTTACTTTCAAGGGTAAGTAGTCTTTCTGTTTTTCCTATACATATAATAATGTTGTTTTTCAATTCTTTGCCATCTCGAAAGGAGATTTTAGAAGATGGGGCCTTGGGAAAAGGAGAGAGTCCCCCAACTACTTTTGTATGGTAGCTTCAGTTTCACTTATCAAGTGGAAATGCATCATATTTGATACCAAGATGACGACACACAACCAAACATGGCAAGTGAGCTGTAGACTGCAACTTCTCGTATTATTATAAAACAAAAGAGTTGAGCGGAAATACAAGTAAATAGAACCAGTTACAAGCTTATAATTCAAAATTGAATTAGATAACACTGAATATGCACAAATAATTAGTTGCATATAAACCGTAGTTTAATGCCTTTTTATTCACATCATAGTGTCTCTTGAATTATGTTTAATATTTATGATGAAAAGTTTGTAACTAATTTTATCTGTTTATATCTTTTTCAAAATTGATAACGATGAACACATGCCATCAAAACATGACAAGTAGATTGCAGACTGCAACTTTTTGTATAATACACAAAAGAATTGAGCGGAAATGTACAAAAATAGAATCAGCTACAAACTTCTAATACAAAGTAGAACTAAGGAGACATTAAACGGATAATTAGACGTATATAAAACACAGTTTAGATATTAAACGGACAATTCACATCATGACGTCTCTTTGATTTAATCATGATGAAAAATTTATAACTAATTTCATTTGTGTTTATTTTTCAAAATTGATCAAGATGGCGATACACCAACGAAACATGGCAAGTAGTTGTGGACAGCAACATCTTGAATTATAAAACAAAAGGGTTGAGAGTATATTACACATCAGCATGATATTTTCATATTTTGTCATGATTTCAACAACTAATCGTTTTGAATGCCGATGAGCATGTTAATATTTGGCCAATGAGGACGAAACAAGTTTCTCTGCCCTAGCGTTTAGTGTGGCGCCTGACCTAGTAGGGTGCTGCAGTGTCTGAAGCAGATTTTAAAGGCAATGAGTCTCTCTTGGGTTGCATGCTGTTTGGCACATTCCCAGCATAATCCCGATCTCCCATCCAACGATCATTCTTCTTCTTCTTTTTGGGTTGCATGGATTTGGCCCCTGTTTTCCAAGATCTGGTATAGCTATAACATTTTAGTTAACTAAATCCAGTTGATCATCGAAACGAGGAGAAACTAGAAAGTTCTGGATGTGAGAAATCATGTTACGTCACATGTCCGTCCAAGACAATAACAGGTTCAATTTGATGAACCTAAATGCAGAAATCCTTTTTATGTGTCTTAGGTGGACGGTTTATGTAGCACGATGCCCACACCTAAAGACGAAAAGGAGAAATTAAGATAATCCATGTGCCATATGCCCCCTTGTATATACTTCTATAAACAATGACCTAAAACAAAGCTTATAGTTCTGCTAAATATTGTGACTATTTCGTAGTGAAAAACAACGAATAAAAATGAGTATTCTGTAAACTAGATTGTTTTGCCAAAACTAGTCTCCCCCAGAGGAAAAGAACTTCTGTATCACGGGTGCAATATTGTATCTCTCTATTTCTCATTACGGATAGATATTGCAATCTCCCTACATCTTACACAATGCAACTTGTGAATTTATCCGCTTAAAAAAATGTTATATATTTTACCTTGTAAATTGCGGACAAGATGGCAATTTTTGTACCATGAATATACACAAAGTAATATATAAACAAAAGCAAAGTCTTAACAAATCCATACAACGCAAAGTAAAAAAGCAAAATGCTCCATATATAACACCTGAAAATTAAACAAGTATTCCAAAATTTTCAGGTTCATCATTCATTTACTGTCTTTGTAGCTATATGTATACAAAAATACCATAAAATACAAAGATCAAGAAAATTATTTGATCCCAGCTATTTGCATACTCTTGCCTTTTCATGTTCAGCAGCCCTCATGAGGAGGCTGCCATGTTCAAGCGCCACCAGAACCGGCGAACCCCAATCCCTCGCGCCACCGCGAGCATCGTCTCCGCCAACAGAGTCTGAAACTCTTGACCATCGATCACACCATTTTTATCCGCATCAAATCTCTCAAATATTGCATCATGCAGGACGTTGATTTCGTCTTTCGGCTGCGACACGTACCCGATGCCCGGCAAAAGTTTGCCAAACCCTGCACGTAGCTTCTCCCTCGATAGCCCTCCCTTGCCGTCCACGTCAAGTTTTCCGAAACACTCCTTACTGCATTTCTCAAACGTCGTCGTGTCTTCCACAAATCTGGTGACGGTCAAGTTGTTCAGGGCATGAATAACAACGGTACTGGAACTGCTACTCGTTTTCATTGATCAATCAAAGAATTTCAGCTCTTTTCAGAGATTTGTTTTTTGGGTGTTAATTTGTGTGTATATATATAGAAGATGTGGTTTGCTCCTAATATTAGGGGGTTTCTGTGGTTGATGAGCCATTATTTTAGAAGTTTTGGGTTAGTTGGAGCTATGGTGGCTTGTAAATAATGTTCCTTACTTTTTCAACTCAATAACGCGTTTTAGCAAGACTACGCAACGCATATTCCCCAATCACGTGGTTTGATGCTATAAGTAGATGGCAAGCAAGCAACTCTCGTGATTCACTGATTCTTATTTCTGAAAGCGGGTTTTTTTTTTTTTTTTTCGACTCTAAGTTTTTTAAGATTATTAGAAGTGTTTTTAGATTAGTAAAAACGTTTGTAATAATGTTGGGTAAGAAAAGTTAAAAGTGCTTCTTTCGAAAATCACATTTTATGTTTCAAATGTTTTTCTTGAAAACGTGTGGAGATATTTATTACGCGAGTGTTTCATAGAAAAATACTTCATAAAAAGTGCTTTAATGACCAATAAACACTTGGATTTTGAAACTATGCCATTAATTTGAGTGTTTAATTACATGTAAACCAAAAATATATACAATTATTCATACAAATTTCACAGAAAATTACGTATATATCTTTTTTCAAGGAAACCACGGACGTTGTAACTTTAGCGGCTACATATTTCTTATCTACGTACCCTTCTTTACCCTCAAACCTTAGGAACTAGAGTCCTTATTCAAGCGATAGTGAAGAATGCTTTCAACTACTTAAAACTACAAGGCCTTTTCAAGCAAATCACGTACATTGTAACGTTTCTTATCTACCATCTTTTGCCCCTCAAACCTCATGAACTCGAGTCCTTATACAAGCGATGGTGAAGAATGATTTTAACTACTTAAAACTACAAGTTCTTTGCTAAGTTGAACCCATATCTGTGTTGAATAATATTGGTTTCCTCAAATTACCCAAATTATGCCAAGGCGTTTCTAATTTATTATCTTAATTTTAAAAAATACAAGTTCACTATTTTTTTCTTGGAGATTTAGCATGCAAGTTCTCCAGTTGATTGATGGAGTTGCTGATTTCTGGATCCGTATTTGTCCAACTCTTAATTTGGGCCAAGAAAATATGACTACGTTTGTTCGACTTTTCATACATTTTAACCAACACGGAGAATCGGCTTGTCTTTCTCCAAAAAAAAGAATAGGCTTGTCTGCATCCTTTCATTTTTTTTCGAAAGAGTATTGTTATGCTCGCTCACCTGCTCTATTTTTTCATCCACCTTATAACTAAAATAATCATAATAAATCCATATAAAGTGAGTAAAAAAATAAGACAATGGATGAGCATAATAGCACTCTCTCAAAAATAAAAATATAAATACAGATGTGTTTGAAAAACTAGACTAATTTCCTTTTTAGAATAGTCATTTTACATCTTGCAAAGCGCTTTTCTAGTAATACCAACATGATATAGACTGGCTTCATAACAAACACAAAAAGCTAAAAATAATAATAATTGAAAAATTGCTCAAAACTAGAACTTTAGAACAACAACAAAGAAAATTGCATGAACGATCCAAACCTACTTCAATTTCTGTTATAAATGATGAAGCAAGTTCCAGCACTCCAAAAGTACTTGCTTGGAAGGAGAGCACTCGCATGTGCGCTCCATCTTCGGTCGTATTTATCCATCGCAATAAAAATGATTTATAGTTATGGTTAATTAGTAGCATTTTCTCTAAAAAACGGATCATTCTTTGTAAATGAACGACCGAAAATAGTTATGATTAATAGCACTATCATGAAAAACACCTCGCTCCAACAATGTAGATCCATGGTTACGATTGACTTGTGTACATTTACATTCATCCTCGAGTCTTCTACAATCATGGTCATTGTCAAGTTAGTGTTTTTCTTTCTTCAACTACCATTGGATATATAAATTGAATAAACATGAAATAATAGAAAGTAATAAAATAGTAAGAAATATTACTTTAACCCTCGTAT